AAAAAAAAAAAAAAAAAAAAAAAAAAAAAAAAAAAAGAAGAAGAAGAGGAAGAAGAAGAAGAAAAGAAAAACAGAAGATGGTTTCCTGTTCCGCCAAAAGGAAGAGAGGGCGGGCACAAGAGTAACATACAAAACATGCCCAGGTTCACCACTTTTCCTGTTTGTCTGTGTAAAATAACATGACAGATGACTCTTAGCTAGTTTCATCTATGTTAATTATTTGACTGGCAACCACTTTCTTGCATGGTCTGGGGATGAAGAGTCTCCCTCCAGAGTATTGCCTGAGTGCTACTGCCAGGGTTCTAGAAGCAGGAAGTGCAACTGCTAGTCCATGAAAGAGTGAAAGTGACTGACTATCTGCAAAGAGATTTTTACATTTTACAGATTTGCAAAGCATACACAGGTTTCTAAACTGAAATCACGAACCTGATTTCTCAAGGATTCCAGCAGGATTCTAGAAGCCTTAAGACTTTAATGCACCTGTCCAGAACTACTATCAAATACACAAAGGAATAAATAAATTAAAAACAAACAAACAATAATTACATCTATTTCTTCATTTCAATGCATTTTTTTTGCTTGTTTGTTTGTTTTTTTCTTCAGCTTAAAATCATAGCAATCTTGATATCTGGCAGTCATAGGCACAGTAAACAAATATTCTTTATGCAAAGGTATACTTCTTTTCAAGAGTAGAATTTTTCAAGTGGAATTGACTTTTTCCCAGCTTTGAGATATCAGAATCTTCAAGATGCTAGAGTTCTTGGTCTCCTGCTTGCCAGAAATCAATGGAAATCATTGTCTCACTCACTAACACCCAAGAAAATAGAGAATATTGGAGAAGGTAATATGGAAACACATGCTGCAAATAGTTTCAGACAAGATGTCTGTTTGCAGCACAGGGTGTACATTAGCTACTGTTTTCTGAAGCTCAAAGCATAACAGCAGAATTAAAAGTTAATAGGTCTGCTAACTTCAGTGATCTCTGTTCAGCACTGAATTGTATTTCATGTATACTGTATTTTAAAGCACATTTATCAGGAATCATTTTCTACTGTTTTCTGTTCTAATTCAAGCAGAAGTTGCAGGTTAAATTAAGGCTGTGAGAAAACAGATGACTCAATTAGGAGGTGAGACAGTCAGAGAGGTGCATTAGGTACATTAACAGCTTGGTAATAATGGGTTTGGTTATAGTAATATGGGTCAAATTTGGCCATATTACAGTGCTTAAACTTCACAACTTCATGTTGTCTGTGAATATACTGCCATAATGGATAGGGCTGTGTGGAGGATGGAGCTTTTCTCCTCATAACTGTGGTAGCATGTAATACACTATAAAATAACAGGTATTCTGCCTGAAACTGATACAAGAATCAGAAATGAAGAGACCTAAAGTGGAGCTCAGAAAATCCAGCCATCTCTAAGCCATCTCTGAGCAAGTAGTAATACCCTCACAACTAAGGCCAGCACTCCAGAGAGAGAAGTGTCTTTACAGATTTTTCTCCCACTGCTTTCTCCATTGCTGTAACTCTTCTGTAGTTTTCTCACAGAATTTGCAAGATTGTCGACAGGAAAAAAAAAAGGAAAGGCAAGAAGAAAAATGTGATAAGGTAAACAGAACTGTCTTTTGTTTTACAATTTTTAGCTCTTGTCATTATGTTGCTACTCTCACCATTTTACTGTGCAAAAAGTTTGCAAATAAAGGCTTCATATTATCTCAAACTACTAAAGACAACATTAGGAAAGACTTAAAGTGAAAACTTTTAAACATCAAAGTTTATGATCTAACTAAGAGCAAGGACTTGCTCCTAATGGCATTCAGAGAACTTTTGCAAACTAGAAGGCCATCTAGTGGCTAAAGTTAAAAATCACATTTTTAGCATTACAGCATTCAAGTCATCCCATGCATCAAAGCATGCTGTAGTCCCTTTTACACCAGAAGACTTGTTCATGAATATTAGAACAGAAGAAGTGTTTAAAATATGAAAATATACCATATTTTCAGGATTAATGTAACACTTTGGGAGTAAGGAATCTATTCAGAATGGCGTCAACAGAAGTTCCTGGGGCCCTCTGAGCTCAGAAGTTTCTCTTCCATTTGCTCTCAACTTGAGCCTTGACTGTAACACAAATCTGTTTCCTGCTGCTGGACATTTAGAAGAATGCTTGTTCTGTGTGGTCTAACATTAGCAGGAGCTATGGTTGGGTGTTTGTAGGCATGAGTTAGCAAATATCCTGAGTGTAGCTTCACATTCAACTTTTCTTGTATGTGAACATACCAGTTGAATTAGCTTTACTGCCAATGCATTCCTGTGATTAGTGTTTTTCATTGAAAGCCATAAAATAAATAGATGTGTAAAATCTCTTCTACCATGATTTCCATAGACATTTCTCTGTTCATCTTGGTTAAGCTTCCTTGACTGATTTTGAGTATCTAGATTGAATGGTCTCTGAGATTTATAAAGACCGATTCTGATCACAGTAGGAATTTACTACTGTAGGCCATTTACTACTGACACATTTATTATGAAGGACTTTTTCAAGTTCAGTTTTGCACCTGAAAACCTACTGTGCTTCCTGTGCTAATAGAACCTCATTGAAATTATCCAAAAGTATAAGGATTGGTGTTTCCACCAATTTTTAAAATTCTTCTGGACCCAGACTGGGTCTTAAACATTTTTTCCCTTTCCCAGGTATCCAGAACTCAAGATGCAGCATCAAAATATTGCTAATAAGAGAAACATACTGTGCAGTCCTTGTGTAGCGAGGCTTTGAAGTTTGCACATGGTTAAACACGATTAAGTCCACACTGGGATTGTCAATGTCTTCAAAATTTACTGCACCAACACAGCCACTGTTAGGATGGAAATCAAATACATGTAAATTATTTATAAGACAGATGGTGGAGGCAGCTGAACCATACACTGCATACTCCAAAATTCTAGTTGTTTATTAAAATGGTCCACGAGAAAAAAACATGGAGATGAACCCCCCTGCATGCTAGGCATATCCCAAGATGAAAACAATCATTTGCTGAACTTGCAGCATATAAGAAATGACAGCACATAGTACATATGTGCATAGAGAAGGTTTGTGAAGAGTGGCAATAACATAGAAATGTATAATCCCTTGTCCTTCTGGTTATGCCTGTGACCAGACTGGGATATTCTTCCAAAGAGGACATAATGAGTCCTGCTTTCTGCTTCATAGGTAAAAGGCTTCCTCTACAAGCAGAGGCAACTCAGCACACCCTCCTCCCCAGCACCAGAAAATACCATAAGAATAGATCACACATTGTACATCTTGCTTCTTGGTTCATCTAAAATTCTACCTTCAGAAAATGAAAGAGATGGATTGCTTGGGATTAAACAACAACAACAAACCAACAAAACTAGAAAGGATTCAGGGACGTTGTACTTACGTGTACAAAGGGATTTGACAGATTCGAGAGCTTCGGCTTACACTGTGAAAGACAAAATATCTCAATCACTTTTTTTTTTTTTCCACTCAGCAGAATATTCTGATAGAATATTTATGAAGCCCCAAAAGAGAGGTAGTGACAAGTCAACGTTTTGCTCTTGGAATGATGCAGTGCTCATTTGAGTTGTGGTAAAAGACTGTGGTAAATGATTAGTTTGACATATATGTTAAATGACCCAGTTCGGCTTGCAAAATTTTTCTCTTTAACCCTCATCCTCAGATGCTGGGGCTTCAGGCATTTTCCTGCAATTGTATATGCAGGTTTTCTTTAAACATGAACTGTCTTTCTACTTGTAACACTTTAGTCAGTTCTCAAGAACATGGGAAAATTTAACATCAGGTCTGAATTCCTCTCTTGCTCTGTCCTTGCAACCTGCTCTCACTGGCCACATCTATATTCCTCTGCAAGAGAAACATCCAAGAAGACAGTGATAATATGCTCTTATCTCCCTTCCACTCTGGAGATGTGTGTGTCTCTCCTGTTTTATGCCTATCTGTCTGGCAGTATACCTGTCTCTTGAGTTTGAACAAGCAAATTAAGCTTCACTCTGAAGCTGTTCAAGATTTTATGGAAAGGAGATGAAATTTTGAGTTTGTAAATGTCTGTGACTACTGTGGGATTTTCATAAATGTCACGCCTCAATGAAAACATCAGATGTATGCAATCATGATAGTCATTCTCTTATTCTTCTGTTCTGCTTTTTACATTTAAGTCTCAAAAGGAAAGAATGTTGGAGTGTACATTTCAGATAGGCATTGACTGAATATCTTAACTTCTCTAGTTATAGAATAACCTGATAAGGAATTGTTCAGAGGACCTTAGTATTAAACAAACAAACAAGAAAAGAAACTTACAAATTAGCAGGTCTCTGTGAAGAGGTAAAATATCTTCTTTGAAATCTATCCCAAAGGTTTCCAACAACCTAAAATCGTAATTAGATGCTTAATTAATTTGACTTAATAGATTTTGCAATTCATCACTGAAATAAACTGTTATGGAAAGGATGACCTGTGCAGAGTCAATTTCAAGACTGAATTTTTATTTAGTAAAAATAGTAATTATTACAGATAATAATGACAAACAAACCTAACATAAAGTTTCCTGTGCTACAGTTTTTTATCAGTGTCTTTGTCCTCTCTTTTGGTAATGTGCATGCATGTCTTCTGTACCAATTTACAACGGGAAAAAGAGAAAACGCATGAAACAAAGTGAGGCAGTTTCTCAAATGTGAAGATGGCCTTAAATGCTCTCTAGGGAATGTTTTTATTTGAAATTATTACTGTGTGTTTATCTGTGTGATCTACACAGATCTTAGGCTACATTCCCTTAGCAAAATCTAAGAACAATTGGAAAGAAGTTGCTCACTGACTTGGCTTATTTCAGGTTCAGGATTGTATCTCCTTTTTGTGAAACACTGGGAAACAGGATCAGCCATCACTTCCATTGATTCAGAAGGCTGAATTTTGGATGGCAATATATTATCCCATGGAACATCTTCATATGCCCTAGGTAACAAAAAAGATTAAAGAAGCTGCAATATAATCTGTTCTGAATTGCATCTGTAGCTAGATAGATAGGAATTCTCTGATAAGGATGTGGAAAAAAACAAGTGTATTTCTCATTCAAAGGGCACTTAAAAGACTGGAATTACACATTTTCTGTGTTTGAAAAAGTAGTTATGACAGATTTTCACAGGCTTCTCTTATTTAAACTTTCTCACTTACTAATTGAAAGTAGTAATTTATCTTCCAAAAGTAGTTTATCTTCTAATTAACTTATGGTGGTGATAGGGTTTATTTTATCTACGTTTGAAAAATCAGATAAGTGATATTAATAGAGATTAGACGCCCCACATATCATGCCTGTGGCAGTTGTTAAAAACAGATGTACAGAATGTCCTTTAGGAAACTCCAGATTTTCTTCACTGCATAAAGAGGAAATAGAGATGAATGGCACAGGCTGGATACAAATTTTTAGATAGCTGCAGGTAATGAGATGAATCCTATGCTAAATAATTGCTGCTGCAATACAAGAAGCTCTGAAGTGACAGAAAAACTAACTGTGATCTTACGTGGCCACAATTATGTATTGTCTTATGTATTTTGCTACCTAGGGGTTCATCAGAGCAAAATAAGTTGGGAAAAAAAATGAAGCAAAGCACAAACAAATCCTATCCTTAAAAGAAATGATGTCTCACTTTTGAGTACTTGACTTGTAGAAATAGTCCCTAGCTTTTTCTTCTCTCCAACTTGCAGAAGGATCATTTGAATCCTAAGAGAAATCAAAGAGATGGCAAAAAGCAATATTATCAACATATATGATGCTGTGATTGCTTACGAGTGAACTGAACACATCTACATTATTCTAGTTTAATATTTTCTTTTGCATCAGAAAGTGAAATATGCAATTTCACATTCTTCACCAGACAGCACTGGAGATTTATTTGGAATGTAAGAATTTTCCTGAGAAAGGAAAATTTAATAAGTGAATACAAGTTAAAAAACTAGTAGAATGTCCTTATCTCTCCAATCCTCAGGAATGCAGCTTTCCATTTGTTATGTTGTCGATAAAATGACATAACAAAGAAACCCTCATATATGCCTGATATATTTGTATGATGTTCATGGGTGTTACAGGAATCCATTTAAGCATGTGTGACACATTAAGGGCTATGAATTACCACATCAGTATAAAAGGATGAAGGATACCATTTCATTTTCAGTACGGGAAAGACTTAATTAGTGTTGTACTATGGACTCATTGGTGTCATTTTATTTACTTATTTCTTTAAGACTTGCATCATATATGATAGAATCACAGGATCATATAATGGTTTAGGTTTTAAAAGTTGTTGAAGACCATGATGCAAGGGATGGAACACCTCTCCTATGAAGACATGTTGACAGTTGAGGCTGTTGAGCCTGGAGAGGGCTCTGGGGAGTTCTGATAGCTGTCCTTCAGTATCTAAAGGGGATGTGAAAAAGAAAGGGACAGGCTCTTTAGCAGGGTCTGTGGTGATGGAACAAGGGGAAATTGTTTCAAAATTAAAGAAGGTAGATTTAGATTGGATGCAAGGAAAAAGTCTTTTACAGAGACACTGGTGAGGCACTGGAACAGGTAGCCCAGAGATGCAATGGAACACCCATCCATTCAAGATGGGAGACATTCAAGGCAAGGCTAGATCACACTCCGAGCAGCCTGACTTTATGACCTTTAAAGGTCCCTTCCAACTCTAAGGATTCTATGATTCTATGATTCTAAGTACTATATATATCAAATAAGGGCTGGCTTAATTTTAAATATAGTAATATAATTTCAATTGTAGTTTTTATATCACAGACTCATAGAACACATTGAGTTAGAAGAAAGGACTCATAAAGATCACTGAGTCCAACTCCTGATTCTTTCTATATTTTGATATTTTGTCTCTAAGTCTGTCATATTTAGATACATATGACATAAGTGGTATCAGTCATGCCTTACGGTCTAAATGCTTTAACCAGGGAAACAGTACAAAAATAGTATTGGAGCAAAGAGCACTGTTAAATCATGCTACATGCACTTATTCACTATAATCAGATAAGAAATGAAAAAGCCCTATTTCACCACATTATCAAAGTCACTGCAAAAAGCATTTTAAATTGAAAGCAGAGTTAGAAATTAAATAATTTAAATATGTTTTCCATTATTATAACAAAATAATGGGACACTTGCCTTGAGATGGGGATCCATAAAAAATGCAAAATTATGGTGTTGATCAGGTAGAAGAACATGAAGACCTTTCGCTGGAGTTTTGTGACCTGAAAGAAGGGGGTTCCTATTGTGTTAATCAATTTGCAGCAATCCTTACTGTTTTAAACTGGATGGAAAAAACTCATGGTTTTTCACTAGAATCAATGAATAAGTGTTGAGCTAACTGATACTACTCTGAAAGGAATTACAAACGTCCACAAAAACACATCTTTGTATACACATACTGTACATTCTTAATACTTATAACACATAAAACTATTAGAGAACTATTAAAGATAATCCAAAGGAGGGCCATGAAGATGGTGAAGGGTTGGGAGGACAAGATATATGAGGAGTGGCTGAGGTCTCTTGGTTTGTTCAGCCTGTAGGATAGGATCTTGAGGGGAAGGCCTCATGGCAACCTACAGCTTCCTCACAAGGGGAGTAGAGAAGCATCTATTCTCTCTGGTGATAGCAAGGGAACCTAAGGAAACCACATGGAGCTGTGTAAGTGGAAGATCAGATTGGAAAGTGGTTGGCAATTGGAACAGGCTCCCTAGGGCATTGGTCACCAAGTCAGGCGGAGTTCAAGAAGTATTTGGACAATGCTGTCAGACACAGGGTTTGAATTTGGGTGGTGCTTTAAGAGCCAGGAGCTGGACTCAGTGGTCTGTGTGAGTCCTTTCCAACTCAGGACAGTCTATGATTTGACATGAAGTTAATTACATGAAAGCTTAAAATGAGTGATAAATAGTACTGCAACATACTTTGCTATGATTTGGCCAACTTCACGTATTGTCATGTACCAAATTAAATGTATTAAAGAAAATATCCAACCCTGCAATTATAATAATAGAAATTTGCTAACATAACCAAACTATTGATTATGTCTTGCATTTCTACACTTACGTTGTTTTCGCCAACCTTGTTAGCAACAAGCTATTCCATGAGCAGCAGAGAAATGATTTCTTAAAGATATTCCTTTTCAGTCATTATCCTCCCAACTTCATATTCCAGCAAGAGCTTGCCCTGACCAGGTCCTGGAAATTTGGCATACCCATTCAGAGGCCAAAGTCTGCAGTTACTATTGAGGCATATTTCTACTGACTGGTAAGCCAGTATACACATACTGGTAATGAAGAGAGCTGCTGCCAAACAGAAAGATGGTATAATGCCCAAGATTCAGGTCCCTTCAAGAACACTAATTTATGCCTTCCTTTTCGCCCTGCTTTTTACTTCCAGATCCCCTAAAAGTTTCCAATATATGTGAAGGTGTATGGAAACTAATTTGTAATGGAGTTACTTTTCATAGCTATTTGTGGGGAAAAAAAGGTCTACAAAGGTGTACTTTGGAGAAAAGTGATCAAAACCTGAAAGTTGGAAATCGCTGTGAAGAATGAAAAGTTAATTCCTGTAGAACATGTCCAAGTTTTATAGAAACACACAGGTTAGTGCCGTGATGCTGTATGTTGATTGTGAAATAGTATGACCTGCTTTTTAAAAAGAGCTTTTTGTTTTTTCTTGACAGTGTACCATAACTTTAAGTTGCTGCTTTTGTAAAGCTTGAAAGAATTTATCGATATTTGCACTGTGAAGAAAGCTTTCAAACTGAATCCCTCTCTGATTAAAACAAGTCAATTGGAAAATTTCTCTTAAATAGGCAATGTGCTTGTAGTAAAGATGGTGTCTGCATCTTCACTGCCTCAGCCTGGTGGAGATTTTAAATTTTACCTGCAAATATATGGTTGTACTCAGGTGGGAATGCTTCTATTAAGTTTTATATTTTGTAATTACTTCATACTACTGTATTAGTGTTCTCCACAGTAAATTGGCAGATTGCTCATCTATGCATATTTATTAGTTGTTCCATAAAAATAGTTTCTTTTCATGTTCATCAATTAAGTAACTAAAGGTTGCAAATATTTTTCCTTGTGCTGTATGTGTAAAACTCATTTCAGCTACAGTGTCCTTAGAAGGATCTATATTTAACTTTACATTTGCTTTGGTAACTGTACATATGAATTTCTATTAGAGCTCTGCTCTTGGCATCTTATGCTGTATTTTGCTATCTTCACCTCAATGCTGGGATGATTAGTTTTCTAACATTTACTTCTCTTTTTGCTTTCAGTGGAAAGATCTAGCATAAAAACAGTGCTTTTTCCTTAAGTCAACTTTCTGGAGGTTTCAATGCCCCTATTGATTTGCTTAGACCTCAGAATTGAAAATGGTATGACCTGTTCTTGTTCAAGTTTGGCACTCAATGTCTTGACTTTGCCACTTTAACTATCAAGATATTAATGATGCTGTCAGTTTCAGTTGATTACTTAAACTAGTTCCTAATCTGAAAAAGGATTCAATGACGGATAATGAATTTTGAAGGTTTTCTGGTTTTTGCATTCTGAGTCAGAAACTGAAGATGTACTCATTCACTTTTCCATTTCCCAGAAATCACAAAAGCTAGAATATCTTTTTGTTTTGTTTACAAAGGAAAAGGTGAGACTCCTATGTCATCACATAAGGTCATATGCAAAGAGGTTTACAAAACAGTGGCCTTACAAGCTTCATTGCACTTCACTGTTGCTTGAAAACATGTGATGTTTTTGACTTTTTATATCTTAGAATTAGTAGTATTGACTTCAGTGGGTCAAACAAGAGATAACAATGCCAACTGAAGAGCATACAGATAACTCTTCCAAATTCTCTTGGTTAGTTCTTTGATGAATTATTTTCCTTCTCTTTATATATGAAAAATAAATATAACCAATTAACATTACTTCTGTTTGGTTTTACACCCATAAGAAAAGGCTTAACTCACTCACTGAAAACTAGCTTAACGTAAGCATAATACCAAACAGTTTAGGTTGAAAATGTATGACAAAAGAAGTAACAGGTAAAGAACAAATTTGTTAAATCAACAAACCTCTCTGCTATGGGGCACGTGAAAAATGAGTGCACAGTGAAATATATAATTGCAGAGATGATAAGTATCACACCCTTAGCGAAACCTCAATATTTATTCATGCAACAGAACACCCACACCAAACAGTTAACCCACACCAAATAGAATAATAATTACAGTTATGACTTCATTGTCAGGCTTGTATTTACAAATACACCTGTGGGATCAAATCCTGAATGTGCAAAGGAATTTGAAACTGCAGAAAAAGGGAGAATTCAGTTGCCATGTGAGTTATGGAAGGGGAATCTACAGGGAAACAGTCAACTTAAAGACTCTGTCTTGCAGCACCAAGCATCTTCCTTACACAAAGCAAAACACCCATGAAGAATAGTTCTTAAGCAATCTTCCTTCTCTGCTAGATTCTGAATCATAAAATAATCTCCTTTGCCAGCTTCTCACCATGCTTTGGTATCACAGAGCTTCACTGCTCCATTAACTTGATTTTCCCAGTAGTTGCAAAAGGCTGTGTGGGGACATTTAAAGTTACCAGTGTTGATTGCAAAAGTAATATAGCTGTACACTTTCTCACAAAAGAAGACCTCCTGGACACTGGAGATGTTTCTAAATACCTCAACTCATACATCTCAAAGGCTGCTTCTGTATCTGCTTTTTTTTTTCACTCATCACAAGCACAGTGGATAAACAGTGCAGAATTTGCTTGCAAAATGCCTGACTGATCTCTCTTTTAGCACAACTTCCCCAAACAACGATGCTGGGGAATGATGTCTCAGGACTGATGTCTAGAAAGATTAGCACTTTCAAAGCATCATGTGCCTGTGGGTTGCTAGTTGGCCTCTGACTTGAATAGCTGAAATGTGGAATTTGCTTATGCATTGAAAACAGCATCTTGAAGCTCAACTACTTCTTTTTCTTTTATTAATCTATATTTACACATCTGTAATCAACATTCAGCATCACAGGAAAACCTGGAAATGAATACTAGGTTTGGAAGAACACTTGCAGAGCTATCTCAAATAAATTTATACTGGACTCTGTTTCAAGATTTTGTGCACAAGTTAAGTTTAACTTTTGCAGATAGTTTCATTGAAGTTGGTATTTCACACTAATAGTGAACTTCACCCAAAGGTAAATCAACAGGAAGTCACCAGGCAATTTCTATCTGACTTATGGAACTACTCTCCATTCTGGACCACTTTCTTAACTGTAAAACAGATAACTGATTTGATGACATATGGTTTCAGTTTTTGTCTGAGTTCATTTCAAGAGTGTCTAATCCGTCACAGTATTTCTATCTCTGTCTCTGTTTGCTTTTCTTTGTGTTGGAAAAATTAATGGTCAGATTATCATACTTCCTCCTTCCTCTTGCTTCTCCACAGGCTTGTGGAAAAAGCTAATCACTTCTGATTGATTTCTTAGATCTAATTTAAGTAGACCACTGAGAGCAAATAGCAAAAATAATTTGGAATGAGAAAGAAAAAAAAGAAAATTATGAGATCTTATTATTTTACTCTCTGGTTTCTTGGGTTCTTTTGGCTTCCATTACATGACATCAGTAGGCTTAAAAGGATTTAAAGTGAAAATTTCTAAGACGGAAACAAGGAGCCAAAAACAGCTGGAATATATTGTATGTAGAGACTTCATGGTGACAACAACATGGATAAAGCACAGTAAACTGTAAAGATGGCATGCTATCTCTGTATGGTAAAATGGAGCAAATAGCTTATTTACATTTCTTTATCTTGTTCTGAGTGATGCTCTTTTTATCTATGAGACTTTAGTGTGTTGTCTGAGTTCTCATTATTTATTTATTTATTTATCTATTTATTTTTCTGGTTGAGATGAGCATTTCTCTGTGAAAACTCTGGGAATTGGCTTAATCTTTAGAACAGTTCAACCACACTGCTTACCACTAATAATGTCTGACCTTAGAAGCCCTGGATAGATATTCATTCTCTCCAGAAATATCAACAGACTATGGTTTTGAAACTTGGCCATTACGAGGAGTAAATTTTAGTTTTGATGCTGCAATTAATGTGAAATTAACAGACCTAACTTCAGATGTAACACATTGAAGTACATTAGGAAGGTAATATGTAATTGAAAAAAGATATGATGGCAGTCTTGAAGAATTTCTGTTCTCCCGTCAACTAGATATTGGACAAACGTCTTAAATACTCTGCACAGCTATTTTTCAGGAAATGCTAAAAGACACAGAAATATTCAGGGGATTTCCTGACACTTAGCATTTATTTGTTATTTCAGGTTATGTTAAAACAGATGCTCCCTTCAACTATCATATATAACTTCACAATTTAAATACATTGTTTAAAATGCTATTTATTTCAAAGATTTTTCTTTACTTTCTTCTTTTTTTAATGCTTATTAGAATTTGCTGACTTGTACCTCTTTACTGCAGCAAGGACTGTGACTCACGCGTTCTACAGCAGTGATTACGTTCAGTTCAAATATCTCAAATATCCAGCACAAATATATTTTATATGGTTGCTCCTTTAGAACCTTGGGGGATGGTGTTCACAAAAAAACTCTATTTATTAAACATCAACGATTTTTCTTTAGTGATTAAGAAATAAAAATAGTAGCTTGCTTTACCTCTGAGTTTTGCCCTGATCAAAGCAGCTGGCACAGCCCTGGAATTCCACCGTCGGTCCTGACTGGTTTCCTCTAGGAGGATCATATGCCTCCTGTGAGCAGTCCGCACCCCCTTTCCTGCTGTAGGGACCCGCTGGTGAGGTTTCACATCACTGTAGTCCACCAGGGACTCAATAACTTTTCCAGCACTGGGCTGCAGCTCAGCATCCCTTCCTGCACTTACAAAGCCTGAGCAGGGATCTACTAAAGGCACATCATCTCGGTGTGGGAATAAGGGGCAATTCGGCCCAAACGGAGGGGTGTCTGGATGGAATTTAAGGAAAGAAATGCTGTCTTTCTCTTCAAAGCTGGCAAAGTCATGTCTGTTCTCAGGACCTTTCATAAATGGCATGCACATTTTCTTCAATAGATTTTGATACTGTTGGTGATGCATCCTGTGAATTGGTTCAATTGACATGGCAGCCCGCCTTTCAGCTCCATGAGAAACCATGGCCATTCTCTTCTATTTCTCTTACGTAGCAGCACATTCAAAAGAGTCCCCTTTCTCCTGTTTCTTCAAGTTCCTGAAGTCTTAGCCAGCAAACCACAGTAAAACTAAGGGTCATCTTCCAGAACATCAGTACAAAGAATTCATAAAGAGCAAAGCAGTGGCTCAACTGGTGAATTCCTTCCTGAGAAGGGCATTTATCAAAAAGGTGCAAAAAGAATGGAGCTGCTGAATTAACAGTGAGCCTTTTTGTTGCTTGGTGACTACGGAAGCTACTTCACAATGAAATGTCTCCTAGTGTGAAAGATGGTTCACATGTACCACGGTAACCTCACCCTTCACAAAGATGCAGATAACAACTTGAAATAACACTGCCAATTACTTATTTACCTACAAGAGGCAAAATTAAGATCTTTTCAATTTTACTAAGGGTTATCTGGTATTTTCATTGGTTCATTTTAAAATATTTTTTTTTATATCTAGAGAACAAATCTGAAAATAAACTGAAACACTGACTTAAAATTTATCAAACACAATCATAGAAAAATAAAAATTCAGAAAACTGAAGAATTATTACTTGGAAAAAAATAAATCCCATAGACATTACAGCATCCTACACAGCTTAATTCTGTAGCTTTGCCATTTGTTTTATTGTTTGGCAAATCTACTAATGTCACAGGTCAGAATATGTTGCACTCATTTCCTAATTCCAAATCCTATTGTCTTCATTTAGCAATCTAGGAAAAAAAAAGCAGTCTGAATTATACTGGGATTCTGCATGAATTCAGTGCCATCACATCAGTCCAACACTTCAGAAAAAAATAAACTACATTTATTATATAACTGATGTTGTAGGACCTTTACTCCATGGCTCTGTCAACATTAATTCACTTATGTCACTGTCACAAAGACGTAACTTCCCTGAATTCCTAAGTTGCTCTTGACTAACACGAGATCAGACATGGGGCTAACGTATATAATAGAAGGTTTAGATAATAAAACGTTATGTTCCATAATGCAGGATTATGGTGGTTCTCCTTTGGAGTTGTTTGCTGTGGGACTCAGGTAAGGCACAACATGGATGCCATTCCAAGGATGAGTCCTGTGTTGTTGCCTTCATTTCACAGACTGAAATGCAAGTAAAGCTTTATCCTAGATTTTGTTGGCAGAGATTCTGTCTAAATTATTCTGGGAAGCAAATTTGCCAACTAAGCCAACGAAGGTTGAGTGGTTTCTGCTGTCAGTTTTCAGAAGTTGTCTGTGATAGAAGGAAGCACACAGAGGAGCTGGTCATGTGTCTGTGGTGGTACTCTTAAGGGTGTAAGGTTCACAGAATCATTAAGGTTGAAAAGACCTCTAAGACCACCCAGTCCAACCACCACCACCACGTCTTTCAGTGCCACTGTTCTGTGGAGCAGTCTTTCTTTGATGTAAGCAGCTATTTTTCATCTCCGGCACAGCAGCCACATTTTTCCAGTAGTTAATTTTTCCCGTCAGACTTTGCTTGCTTCCTGGGCAGCTCATTCTCCCCCTCCCCTATTCTTTCATACACTGCCTTACCTAACCTATACAAGTTAAAAATATACCACAGAAGCATGCCAGCACACTGGGATTCCAGGCACTTTATGAAGCAGCACAATGAGAAGCAGGCGGTACCTCTCATGACACTGATGCACAGTTCACTTTTGCTACGGGAACTTCCTCGCTTTTGTTTATTTGTTTGTTTGTTTACGTATTTCTTAAGGGACAACGATGGAGCGAGATTAAGCGCGTACCGCCCGGCAGCGGGACGCTCTTAGCTGGAGCTGCCGGCGCGGCACATGTTTCCCCGGGCTCTGAGGATGTGAAAGCACCACGCTTTCTCTCGCCGGAGCGTAGAGGTGCTCCGCTCTGCGGCCGGGAAAGCCCCTCCGCAGACTTCCCCGCGGCGGGTCGTCCAGCGCGCAACCCGGCCGCCGGATGCCTGGCGGGGGTCGCTTAACGGCTGCCGAGCAGCGGTACGTCGGGCGGTGGCGGCGCAGAGCGCGGCCGGCGGAGGGACGCGTGGCCGCCCCCGGGCAACGGCCGCCGTCATGTGCGGGCAGAGCCTCCTCCTGCTCGGCCTCCTCATCGTCCTGCTGCAGGCGGTCCAGGCAGGTACGTGTGCCTTCACCGTACGGTGGCAAAATCTGACAGCCCATCTACACCCACCGGTAGACGTAGGAAAGCTAAAGGGTTATTTTCCTCAAAAGCGAACAGTGAGTTCTGAGGGGAGAGGTTTTTCTCCTCGGTGAGGCAGCTGGCGGCTCGGGGACCGAGCTGAGAGCCGCATGTCTGTCATCAGCTCTGAAGAACGTGGGTAGTTCTGCGGTAGGACACCAAGATTGCACTTGTCGGGAGCGGTTCTGCTGATCTGCTATCCAGCGCGTGTGATCGCAGCTGTCAGCTGACATCTATTGGGAAATTTGGTTGTACAGCCTCGATGCTAAAACTGGGATTGCCTTGAAGTCACAGACCGGCAGGGTTGGAAGGGAGCTCTGCACATCAGCGAGTTCACCCTCTGCTAAAGCAGGTTCCCTACAGGGAAGTGTCCAGGCAGGTTTTGAGTGTCTCCACAGAAGGAGGCACCACAGCTGTCTGGGTAGCCTGGTCCTTTGTGGGGTTTTGAAGTCTGAATGTAACAAGTTGCTTTGGGCTTTCTGGTAATACTAAACTAGATTATTCATTTTGGGCATCAGTGTGTTTAGGTGCCAGATCTTTTTATGTGCCAATCTGCTTATGGCCAAGTTTCACAAATTCCTTTCTGAGGACTTTTCCATGAGCAAGATTAGTGGTGAAGTTCTACTCCGACAAAAAAAAAAACAGTATCAAAAACACATCGTTAGCAGCATTCTAGTATTTATTCACTGAAGCATTGCTGTTATACTATTGCTTCTATCCTAGATTTTAATAGTCAGAATAGACATTATCAATTCCAAAAAAGACATTAATTTTAATTTTGTGTCACTGAGATGTTATTGTTACACTCTGGATTCAGATCGATGTAAAAAATATGAACGTTTTCTCGTTTTGTTTACTAGTGCTTGCATTTGGGGTTTGTGTAGTTTTCTTTAAAGAGCACTTTCCATCAATAGGCAGCTTGGAAATGCCAGCTGTCATTAAAATGCTTGGATATAGGAAAGCACTTGTCTATTAGCACCATTGGGTAAAGATAAGTAGTATTGTTGTTTATATTGTCTTTTGGTATGGAAATCACTTTACAAAAATTACTTCCAAACAAAATTACTTTTAAAAAAATTCAGCAATCACCATAACTTAAATCTCTGTAATTTTACAAGTTTCATTTATAAATGAATTGAAACTATGCCAATTGCACATTCTAGCAGTACAGCATTTTGCTCATTAATACATTGTTTAATTAGTTAAGTCTTATTTTAAACTCTACTTCCTGCCATTGCACTTTTCAGACAAATATCATTTTCTGATTAGCTATTCTGAAGATGACTAATTTTGCTACCATAGCGTTCATTTTAAGACTGCAACAGTCAGAATAAAGTATTATATGAAATGGTTGAATTACTTCATGTGAGTCTTAGAGCTGCAGAGTGGCACCCCCTTTCAACTCACTACTCCTGTAGTCATTATTAACCTAACCAGATTCTTCCTTTGGGCAGGGAGTGAGAACGGACCCCTTTACGTGGCACTGTTGTAATGCCCCATGGAACAGGGAGGAGCAGGGGAGCTTTGTATATGTGCAAGTACAATCCATTTGCTGCTTCTGATCTGGTGTTGAGACTTTTCCTCTGCAGACAAAACTCCTTAGAAATACATGGATGTCATCTCTCTCTTACTTTGATTACTTTTTCTCTTAGGTAGAATTTATAGTTCAGCCAAATAGACTTTCAGTGCAAGAAAACAGAGTGTTAGCATTTTATACTTAAACTGAACTCCCTACAGAAACTGTGGTGTAAGTTAGAAGGAAGGCTGTTGAGTTTGACTCCAGAGGATTTCAGAGTCCATTGATGAATAACATGCAGATCTGATACTCAGGTAACAGATACCAAATGTATCACTATAGACAGGGAAATGAATTCCTTTGAATTCCAGTAATAAACAGTTTTGTTTGCATGGCTCTTCAGGCAGCTGGGAAGTTTTCCTCAGCGTTGGAGATGAATGACTTGACTTCTCTTTTTCTGACAGTGATACAAAACTAGTTTTCTTCATCTATATTCATCTGCTTTTGTTATGCCTGTAAGGAATGCAATACAAGGAAGAATCACACCCTGTGCATTGGGCTGCTTAAAAAGCTTATGTGGAGAATTAATAAAGAGATCACCTTTATTTTTCTCAAAAAATGAATGAATCTTAGCTTTTCCCATTGCTTTTTAAGTGCTGTTGCAATTTGAGGAGATGGAATAGCATCTTTAATGACCTTAAAATACAGTTTAAGCTCTTATTTTGTCCTATCTTGGTTGTGTTTTTGCTACATTTTCTTTGGAATGACCTCGTAATACTTTTTCTGTGATAAGAATCTGTTTAAACTGATCGTATGCACTCTTAAACTAGTGAGTGAAAATGAGAAGATCATTTGTGCTAGAGACTGCCTGAGGAAGAGCCATTTAAAGTCATTAGGAGGAGAGGATAGGAATTCAAGCAGGAAACCTGAAAAAAGACTTCCAAAAAAATTTGCAAGTCAGTATAGGAAGTGAGGGAAAGAGCATATTGAGGTCAGGTTCATATGTGGACAGAAGCACTTACTGACTGAAATGACTGCCATGCAAATGAAGTGTATGCGCATGACAGAGCAGGCAAATGTGATGTCCTTAATGATGCCAAAACAGTAATTTCAGTAGTTTTTTACACTGTCTTCCTTCAGTAACTACATTCTTTGAACTTCTTCTAATTTGTTTTGTGTAAGCAGTGCAAGAGCTCCATCTTTGGGTTTAAGTTATTATTGTAAAAAATCACTGTTTCCAGTGAAGAGCTATGTATATGTGCTCCAGTGCAGTAGAGTTCTGGAAGACAATATAAATATTCCAATTAGAATTTCAAATCTGTTTTGTTTTATAACTGAAATCCTCCAATCCTTCTAGGAGGTCTTCGGGGAAAATTAAGTTATTTGAAAAGTTTTTACTCCTAAAAAAAAAAAAAAAAAAAAAAAGTTGTGAATTGCTACTTGGTAAAGCAATGTTATGAAGTAAATTAAACTGTTATCTGCAGAAATCCATCATATATGATTCTACTTGTTATTTTCTTTCAATTTGCTTTTTCTGTTCCATAAGTATTTTGAATAGAATAGTTTATTTGTATCCTCAAATGGCAAAATAGGCAGTTCTTTTAACTTACGTTGGTTATCTTGTCCTGATTGCTGGAGAGTCTGACTTCCTTCTGTTTTCCATTTCAACAATGTATGGTAAGGGAGTACAGTTACCAGCTTCATAATAGATGTGGTGAATTGGTGATTTCCCATTATTGTTCTAATCAAGGTAAATCAAAGCGAAGCTGGGAGTTGACCCAGTCTTTCTTGTGTACCAACAAATGTCGCAATGGGAAATGAATTTACTAGCGTATCTGCTGCTGGCTTTACTTGGTATCTATTGAATCTAAGTTAGCAACAAGCACAGTACTGGTGCCACATAACTATTAAGCCCATTATTGCTACTAATTATATGCAGAGTATTTTATTGCCATCTTTTGTGTTCAAGACTTTATATTCCTCTGATATTTACTCGCTTTCCCAGATTCCCCTAAGGAACTTAACTCTCAGTAACCCATGTTCTTTCTAAACAGGAGGTGGAGACAAAGAACACAAAATACTGAGAGATCTGTTAGCCAGTGTTCTCTTTCTGCTGGCTTTCTGCAGCATATCTGGAATATCTGTAGAAGATACTCAGATCTGACTTGTGCTAGAATGCCCACCTGGTACTGCACACTAGCAGGTTATTGAGTTTTCTTTCAGAAGTCTTGCATGTCTTACAAAGCTTTTCAATTGTTATGAAAGGTCTTTTAAATCTCTATTTAATGTCGAAGATGCAAATAAAAACAACCAAATTAAAGCAATTAAGAGCTTGTATTAATTTCATGGAGGAAATTAAGAAAATCACAATGATAACAGAAACTATGTTTGTTACCTTGTTAGTGGTCAGTACACACATTGACTGACATCCAGACTGAGTATATCATAACAATGTAGCTTAGTTTTATCCCCCTTTTGGGTGGTATCTAATCCCATTACCCTCATTATAGAGAGCCTTCATATAAAATGTGACGGTTCTTCTGTAAAAATTAGAAATATATTTAAAGCTGAAAATGAGAAACGTGCCCTGTGTAAGACATTAGACAAAGTTAATACCTGTTGAAGTGCAAGTCCCTAGAGGGTGTGCATTGACCTGAACCATGCTGTTTGCTTTTTCAGAGAAATGCAATAGTTGTGTTGATGCAATTGTTTTGTCTTTTAACAGTTCAGTACTCAGGAAGTGCAGAGTCAGGAAGCAATAGCTTAAAAATAGTGGGATCCATCTTATTTCCAGGTATTTTTCTTTAAACATAATGTAAACGCTTCTACCACAACAGTGCCCTTCTCCATCATATTCCTTGTTGTTTAATTATTTTAAATGCCTTAATTAATTACAATTCTGTACTGACTTACCTATGTTACTATGACTTAGTAGGCCACAAAAGCACATATTTCTACCACTGATTTTTTTTTATTCTTGCAATTTTTATAAAGCAAAGACAATTATTTTCCAGAATTGTTCTAAAAACAACAGCATTCTTTGTACTCATCATTCTGGCTGCAAGACCTTTGCCTCAAAATACTGCTTTATCCCATTGTAGATATTCCTGCTGCTTTTTACTTTCTGTGTACGCAGAACCTGAGTCTTATGCTATATTCTACAATAAAAATTAAGAAATGTTAAGAGTTAATTGCTTAATACAACACGTGTATCTACATAATACAGTCACTTTCTTAATAAATAAAACAATTGTTAAAAAATCTGAAGATGAAAGAACAGGTTGTTCCTCATTGCCATATACTTACTTATGTTACTATCTCTTTAATGCACACTGCGTACTTGGTTTTGATAATACACCTCCCTCTAGTTTTCTCCATCTGTGTTTACACTTTCAGCTTTACTAATAGCATACCTAGAAGCATTAAAGTCAGTGCAAAATGCAATTCTTTTCTTTTTTCTACCCTGAGAATAGTAACATACATGTTTCAGCAGGGCTGCTACTGAGTAAGAAAGGAGAACAAAACTGAGACAAAATAAAGTTCTGTTCAAGAAGATGCGCGTTCAGCTTTGCTCGATATTTCTCCAGACTTGACTAACATGTGGAAGTTAGTACAAGTCGTTTTTCAGACTGTTCCATACTAAAATAACCAAAAAGCAGTTTGTGCATACATAATAGCTTTTGTCAGCCATGGGAAACAAACAAACTTATAATTGGGCATTTAGCACTGAGATTCCTTTAGATAAATATTCCTTTTTGCAAACCTCTCTGGCATTTTACCTCATATTCAGAATACAACTTGAGGTCATAGAGTTGCTTCATGAGCATTGTGCTCTACTGTAAAATGAAAGATACACTTTCAGATTCGTGGTTAAAACTTTGAAAATACTTGTTTTCATTCAATGCAAATGGAGATGAGCTCAGAAACCTGTGTAGTTTTTTTTTCCCCTTTGTGCATTCCACTTGAAGCATAATCCTTTAATTTCCCACTTGTTCCTTGTATCATGCTGCTTTTCTCACCCTGAACTAACGTCATAAACAAATGAAAGCATGCCTTTGCAAGGTGAAAAATAATAAAAGGTGCTATATGACGCAAGGCATTTCTGATTAGAAAGACTGGGACATGTCCTCCTCCCCCCACCGTTTTCTGGGTTAAAAATCTGAAGTAACACCTGCGAATAATGTTTATTTCCATGATATTCTGCTGTACAGTTAAAAGATACAGATTTCTGTTTCCTGTGTTACAAGCCACCGTAACAAGCTTATTAGCTGGGATGGACATTCTTCCTGTTCTTGAGACTATCAAAATTCTAAATGTATTTTTCTGCATCAAATGTTAATATTGATGTCTGTATTCTGTTTAAGCAGTCTAATATTGTGCTGTGATGTTAAGAGGTTTTTCATGTTTTAATGACAGGAAACAATCGTGCTTGAAGGGGAGAGAAAACTGGTGCCATTACTACTACTTGACATAATGGAAAAGTGAAAACTGTTTTTCTAAATGTTAATTCCTTCCCGCATCAAATATCTAAACAGTTTTCTCCCTGCAGGGAATCTGAATGGCATGGTAAAATAAATGGTAATTTGTATATTTGATTTAATTCCACTTATTAAGTCAGATTCTCTAGACCACAAATGTTGTGGTTGTAGTGTTTATACTAGTTGTGCCTTTTCAACAGCATTAGGATAGCATGCTATATTCATGTTTGGAGTACTCTAGAGTATAAATATCTAGCATCTTATGCTTCTGAAGAACGCAAATGGTTTGCAGAATGTCATTAGGAAGGGAAATAAAACAAACTGTACATAATAAAATTACATTTACTACTGTCTTTACATTATATATCTCACTGGTATCATTATATGTCTCACAGTGATAAGTATTTAATGTTAATAATAAACTTTTTTCAGTGAAAGTTTATGTCAAGCTGGATCACAGTAGTCCACATATTCTATGCGTCACAAATCACCTACGAAACTCAGAATTGATTGATCCAGTATTCCGGTGGAATGGACCAGGTGGTTATCTTTCTTCAGGTAAGAATTTATTTTCTTACGTGGCCCTCTACACTCTCTCTCTTCTCCTCCTCCTCCCCCTAAAAGGAATCATGATAGCTAGAAAGATAGAACTGTGAATGGAAGAGAATTGAGAAGACTCTATGTTTGTATGTATATTATATAAATGATAAACAACATACATACAAATGATAAACTTTTAAGTTTTAGGATAAAAATTCAGGATAACCAGAATAAAACACTGGAGATCTCTGTAGAAAATGGTGCCATCTCTAAAGAGTGCTAGACAAGGCAAGGTGTAATGAAAGCAAGAGAGGCTGAAGGTAACATTATTTGATGCACTGAGAAACAGCTGGGACTGTTCTATAAGGATAGAGTAATAGAGTCATAGGCAGTGTGGTCTAGCCCAACCTCCTGCTCAATGACAGGCTACCTTCGGACATGAAGTTGCGTATGGCTTTGACCTCTGGAGTTTGGAGAATCTCTATCCTGGAGATTTTCTGTCCTCTCTCTGGAAAGTCTTCCATTTTATTTCTCATTTTCAGACAATATTTACCTTATTGCAGTTTTTTGTTGTTGCTGCTTATCTTTTTGTGATGTATCTCGTTAAGGGTGTGGCTTAATCTTTCCTGTACCTCTCCCTAAGTAGTGAAGCACTGCAATTCCTTCCCTAGATTTCTCACATCCTAGTTTCCATTGCCTCTTATCCTGTGCTCCAACTCCCTAATCATTTTACAGGCTTCCTGCTTTACTCACTCCAGTTTGTTAGCATCTGTCTTGTACCGAGGAGTGCTGTAGTGCCAAAATGAGTACTGAAAATAATCACTAAACTGCTGGCTGTACTATTGTTGATACACCCCAGTATGCAGTTAGCCTTCACTGTTGCAAAAGTGTGCTTCTGAGTCATGTGCAGGGTCCACTTGGACTCCCAGGCCTTTTTTTTTTGCAGGGCTGCTACCGAAAATCTTGTCTGCAACTGTACATTGCAACTGTATATGCTACTCTTACTCTGTTCCAAGTGCACTTGCGACATTTGATTTTTTTTGCATACTTGACAAGAAGGCATCCTGTCCTGTAATGTAGGTCAGTGGTAAAGATTCTAATCAGTACTGGTGCTTGTAGCAGCCCTGAGGAAAGTCTCTCAGATACGCTGCTAGTTACAATTTGTACAATCAAGCAATCTTCTAAATGGAGATCCATCCAATTTTCCATCTACATTGCCTATTCATAGTCACAGTTTTGGCATTCATGGGCCTTGAAATGGCTTCTGTTACTTCCATCTTTGAAGGGTTTCAGGTGAGAATGGCTGACTTGTGGATTCCCTGTTTTGAAAATGGATGTGTTATTTGCCTCTTTCTGACCATTGGGGCCACATAGCCATCAAAACAGACAATCTCATTCTGGCCTATTAACCTGTGTATGTCCAGATCACTTCAGTAACTCCCTAACATCATACTTCTAATTTCCTGTAGTATCCCCTGTAAGCTCTGGTGGACTCTGGGACAAAGCTGGAAGGCAGCCCTTGCCAGGAAAGACTGAAACAAAGAATGTTTACTACCTCATGGTTTCCATGTTCTTTGTCGCTGTCATTCAGCTCCCTTCATCCTTGGCCTAACATTTCTGTTGCTCTTCTACCGAATGTGTCTATGTTGGCTCTTCACATCCATTGCCAAGGTCCGTTTCTGACTAATCTCTTCATGACTCGTTTAAGGCTACCATTTTTCATAAAGATGCTTGTGATGAAACCATTGTCCTAAGCTGCTGGTATGGTAGGAAAGCTACATATCGCTGTTTCTTTGTTGAATGTGTTGGGCTACTTGTACATTTTTTACAATTCCCACATAATGAGAAAGATTTCTTAGAGATCATGACCTGCTCATGAGCAACATCTTTCCAAGTGTGAGCAGGGAACCTAAGTTCTGTTTTTATTTCCCTCTGTATATGTCCCATTTACTCTTTAATGTAATTTCGGTACCTTTCTTTCTAAAGTACACTGTGATTAATTTTAAACCTGTTTAATCTCTTAATTTAGTTCATAGTTTAGGTTAGCAAGTATTCACCCTTTTATAACGGCAGCGTCACTAAATTCTGTTTGCTTTCTTCTTAATCTATACTGGTGTCTGTCAGACCTCTGTCCTTGGTGTTTGTGTATTTTCAAGCAGCTTTTCCTGTTGTGTGATCTGAAGTACCGTTGATATCATAGTGATTCTTCATTCTTAATCCGCTACATGCCAGCCTTCATAGTAGAGCATTTCAAGTTTCTGTAGCATCTGACACTGCACTGGTTTTGCTTTCAATCTGATAACAGGCTTAACCTCGAGGATGAATTTATAGCATTCATTGCCTTGCAGTTAAAGATGTTTTTGCTTATACTTAAGCTTGTGGGCTCTGTCACTTTGCATGAAAATGTTAATCTCTCTTGAAATGAATATGTAGTGGTTAGCTGTGTGTCCTGCATTGTAAATGATATATTTTGATGCCCAGTCTGTGATGCACGACAAACACATTATCAGATATATTGTCATGTGAATATGTCCTGAGCTTAATGTGATCAGACAGAAAGCAGCCTCCTGATTCACGATTAACAAAAATTGTCCTTTTCAGTCCTCTGGCTTCTGCGTACCCAAATGACAGTTTCGACAGTGTTAACTATGCAGAAGAGAAAAGCATGGAGACCTCAGACTTTCATCTGACAGGTTTAAATCTTTTCCTGAAGACTGCTTCAGTAATATCTCAAGTTGCTGTGCCAGACTTGGATGACTAGCAAAAAGCTAGGGTGGCAGGGATTCTCGGTTCTTTGGAAACTTTAGGTACGCTAGACTCAGCAGCAGGAGGGCAAAAACCATTTCCAAAAGAGAATAAAATGTGTTTTCCTGACAGAGCTTTTCTTTCAACTCAAGTATAAACAAACTCTTAAGTTTCTGGTTTATGAATTGTTTTTTGTGTGACAGAATTTTTTGTTGCCAGGCCTTCTTTCATAATGAGTCTAATTCCCTCTAAGTGGTAAAAACCACATGGGCTTCTGTGTCCAGTTAGTCTCTAATCTCTATCATAGTAAATCACCATACTGGAAGGAAATTAGCATTCATAAGCATTTATCTCAGTGTGTTCATATAAAATAAAATAATCCTATTAGTGGGAATGTAGAATTATGAATCAAGTCATGGGAAGAGAAAGAAAATGCTGCTTCTTGAAACATTTCAAAGTGAATATACGAACTGTGATAGAAAAATCAAATTATCTTTCAGGCGAACCACCCTTTGGCACTCACAATAAACAGGTGCATTGTGCCCACCAAATTTGCCAAAATATATACACAGAACATCACGACTACAAAAAAAACTTACAAGGAGCAGTAAATGCTCTGCTTTTTGTAGTCATTAACAAGCAAGTCTGTTTCTCGAATCTTTGTTCACAAATAGTTCTAATCCACGTATGCGTTGTTGAAAGAATAATGAAAAACAAAATACTGCACAAAATTTATTTTTAAATCATTACAGTTTAAAAATTTACTATTTTTCTTCAGTTAGCAGAGTGACTCTTTTGTGTTAAGATCTGGAAATTATACTTTGAAGTTTTGAAATGTCAGACGACTGAGAATAAGAGTATTTCAAAACACACTTTAAACAGAAAAATTGTGTTTTATGTTCTGCATCCTAAAGTTTCACTGCATAAAAAAAAAGAATTTTGGAGGGTGTTTAAATAGAAATAGTTAAATAGAACAGAAAATGTAAGAAAGTATCTCATTCTTTTTGCTAATGCAAACATTGGAATAAGTTTGTTTTACTTTGGTGGAACCCAAGAATAAGTAAGTATAGGAAAGTTACTGCCACCTAACATACTCATGGAGCCTGGAAAATAATCTAACTTCCTCCCATAGAACAAAAATAACTTCTCTTTTATTTTGTATCATGCTATTTTATGTTGACCACAAGGAAACTGAACTCGATCACATCCCTTGTCCATCATGTATATGAAATGCCTCTTGTGTAAGAGAAGCGCATTAAATCATACCATGTCATTTGTATCACAGAATGTGACATGAAATCCAAACTCATCTTACTTATCTTGTTCCAGCAGAGTAACATTGAAAAAATACTAGATTTGAGAAGAGAGTGCATAAATCAATTGTTTTTCAAGTTTCATTTAAAGGTAATTGTCTTTTTTTCGTGTGAATCCAAACTCACATGAGTAGGCACTATGAATCCAGATAATCCCACACAGCAAGAGATGTTTGTGTAGTTTTGTTTGTAATGCTAAGAAGAAAAGTAAAACAATATTTTGATTTTGTGATCCGTACAGAGATTCTTTACAGACAGATGTACCATTAAAAGAGTTAATGACTACTGTTGTAAAGTTCTGTTCCTTTCTTTTATAGAAATATTCATTGTTCAAAGTAGGACAAAATTCTAAAATAAAACCAGTGACTTAATCCATAAGAAGAACTGCTTAACTTTCCTATTTCTAGGGATGCATTTTCAAAAAAATTCTTTGTGATCACATCTCTTCACTGGACGTCCAGGCTTTGTCTTTTCTGGACTTCTTTGTCATCTTTGAAATTTACTAATGGATTTTGTAGATGCAGCAAAAATAAGATGTTGTGATACGTCTTAAAGGCGCTCCAGTTGAATATGCCAGAGATCCGAACTACATTCTGAAATGTTTTCTTACAATATTAATCTGCTGGCTATTTCAGCATTCGGTAGCAAATGACATCCTAGTTTATAGACTCAGCATCCTGTTTGTCATCGGATTAAAAAGCTCTTTGTCCTCCTAAATATGACAGTGTCCCATTAATGTGAGAACCTAAGTTTTTATGGAATCCCCAACATTTCTTGTAAGAGAATTTATACTTTCAGTCTTTTTAGTAGTAGTTTGTTTGTTTGTTTGTTTGTTTAACCAGCACTTGAATCATCATCTTTATAAACACAGTTACATGTAAGACAAAACTAAGTTGATTAAATGTTTAAATTGATTCTTGAGGAGCAAAGTTGTACCACACCCTCCTGCCAGGTGTGTGAAAAGAAGGACCTTGGTCAAGTTACTTTTTGTTAATATCTTTCTTAAATTTGTAAAGCAGGAAAATCAGCATGCATCCAGAGTAACAGTAATTTGTTAGATTGAATAGGAGTGTGGCTTTGAAGTGAATTGCTTAATGTTGCTCACTTACCACATTTTATTTGGATCATGGACTGGTTGCTGGGTGCAGAAACTGGATTCCTTTTGAGTAAAGCTAATTGGAAAGGTTAGCTTTGAGAGAGAACACATGTTCTGTCTGTAAAACCAGATTAGGACTGATCTAAAGTAAGGGCCCTAAAATGTGTTCAATATAAATCTCATGTCCTTAGGATTCACTTTTTTAGTCAAAAAAGACATGCTTTTCATATCACACTGTCTTTGATTCCATACCATAGATAAAAGGCCTAAAGTACTTAGAATATTAAAAAGATTTTTTTTCTTGGGCTCCAAAAAGCAAAATAATCTGTTCTAGAAATATTTTATCCAAGTGAATATTTTGCCTTCAGGTCTGTTATAATCTGTACTAATCTAGTGATTCCTATGACAGCTACCAAGATAAGCTGCTATTTAAGAAATCCTCAGGCATGTTGTCCCTGTCTTCAAGTTAGGAAAGTGTTCGTCAAATGTCATCTTGTAACCCACACACAGACTACATGGGAGAACTGCATCTTCTCATACTGACTGCTAACATTATTTCATTACTTTTTACCAGAAAATAGCAGTGTGCAAATATCACCAACGGGAACTTTAATATTTGGACACTTCAGATCTGACCTGAGTGGAGTTTACACTTGTTCCCTTGTTTATAAGCTTATTGCTGCACAACCTGATAAAAGACTCACAATAAAATATCTTATTTATGGTAAGTTATTAATGCTGTTAAGCATGCGGTTACCTTGAAGAAGATTTTCTTTTTAAATGTGTGTTGCTACCTATAAAGAAGTAATGCTTATTTAAAATTTAACTTGGAGAGGTAAAGACATTTGGTTGCTCTGGATAGATTTTTTTTAATAGCTATTGCTAGCAGGCATTTACAGAGCCTTAAATGAAGGCCACTTTTTGACTAAGAAATTTATGAATACAGTTCTTTTCAAAAAAGAAACATAAAACACAGTGGAATGCAACAGATTGAACAGATAACAGTCCTTAATAACATAAAAATAGTATAATTTAAAATGAAATTATTCTTTAGGAGATGAATTTTAGCACAGCCTTATGGATTTATTTCACACAGGTTAATGGCTTAATTATTAACTGAATGTGTTTTTACATTGTAAATGATGTATCAATTAATTAGATAATCAATTAATTAAATAATTCCTTCATAACTAGAGATAGGACAAGATGGAATGGTCTCAAGTTGCACCAGGGGAGATTCAGGTTTGATGTTGGGAAAAATTTCGCCTTTAAGAGAATGGTCAGGTGCTGGAATGGGCTGCCCGGGGATGTGGTGGAGTCATCATCCCTGGAGGTGTTCAAGAAACATTTGGATGTTGTACTGAGGCATGTAGTTTAGTGGGGAAATATTGGTGGTAGGTTGGCAGTTGGATGGGATGATCTTGGAGACTTTTTCCAATCTTGATGATTCTATTAGTCTGTGACAATACTGGTAGCTTATTCTTTCCTGTTATGATTACATATCCATTTGTTAAGAATGGCTGATGAAGTGAAATATTACAAAGACAATATCATTTATTCATTACTAGATCTCTTTTCCTTCCTTAATTCTTGAGGAGATTTAGGTAAGAGTTTGTATTGCCTTAAGCAGGAATGATGTCTGACCTCAAATTTGAAATATGTACCAGTATTCATTTAAAGGCTTGCTAGAGCACAGTAACCTAAACTGGCCTCTGATGTAAATTAATTTGACTCTGGCCTTAGTAGCCTTGATATAGAATATCTGTAACCTTTAACAGTTACCTTGTCTGAGAGAACTGGAAGAAATTTCTTTCAAGCAATTGTGATGGGAAAGTTTACAGTTTTCAGTAATGCAGTCTTACATTTTTCAGTAAGGATCCAATCTAAATACTTGCATACCAAATTCAAAATTCAGAATATGCAGCGGCAAGTGAAAGGAAATGGGGGAAGCAAAATCAATGTGGAGAATCTAATTAGCTGCCTTAATTGGATGCCATATTCTTGATATTTTGATGCTGTACTTCCAGCGCTTAACAGGGACTACAGGAAAGCTGGAGAGGAACTCTTTATCAGGGAGTGTAGTGATAGGAAAAAGGATAATGGCTTTAAACTAGAAAAGGAAAGAATTCTTTACACAGGGTGAGGGTGGTGAGGCACTGAAACAGGTTGCCCAGAGAAGCTGTGGATATCCCATCCCTGGAAGTGTTTCAAAATCAGGTTGGATGGGGCCCTGGGCAACCTGGTACAGTGGAATGTGTCCCTGCCTATGGCAGGTGGCTTGGAACTACATATTTAAAGTTCCTTCCAATCCAGACTGTTCTATGATTCTATTAGGTTTTTGTTTTTTGTTTTTTGTTTTTTGTTTTCTTTCTTTTGGCTGGTTTGGTTTCTACTCCTTCATTTTTCTTCTCTGCAGATCTCCCTCCTTATTTCTGTGTTTCTACCCACACCATCACTCCTGTTCTTCATTCTTCTACCTCTGTTTTCAATTTAGCATTCTATTAATATCAAGCTGATAGCAAGCTTTGGGTAAGTAGAGTGGTTATCATGAAGTAACTAAACCCATGCATTTCATGGTACATTATATTTGTAAAAGATGCCCAAGTGTGCATGTAGCCTTGCAGTAAAGTTTAAATAGCTGGTTCTTCCTTAAATGTAAATTTCATGTCTGTATGATAACATGTTCAGGTACTTGCATTGATAGAGAAGGGATTTCTATTCAGTTATTACATCCTTTAAAATACTTGTTTGTGATAGTTGAGTAAGAAGAGTAAAATACACTACTATAACTGAAGATAATGTGTGAGTTGAAATACTTCACCACATAGTACAGGATATTTTCTAACATGCTTCTTAGCTTTCATATTCTTGATGCTTCTTCTATAGTTTACTGTTGTTTTTTTTAAAAAAATAAACAACACAGCCAGTAATAAACATAAAGTAACCTATGGATATAATTAAGAATATGGACTTGTAAAGTCTCCTACATGTTTCCGACCAGTCCAGAATACATTATTTTATCATTAAAAATTAACAACAAATTAACAACAAATTAATTTTGTTTATAAGTTAAGAATTTAAAGCGACAATTTTATTTGCAAATATGTGAGTAACTCATTTTTTCATACATTTTCCTCATCATCATTTGCATTTTTTCCTGCAGCTTATTCTGATCCTCAGTATTACTATGAATTGACAGTCCAGTACCATGCAGCCCCCTGCAATAGTTTTCGTAATACTTCTTTTGGGAAGGTGTTGCTTCAGATACTCAGCAAGCTCATTGCTGACCTTTCATGTGAGGTTTCACTAATTAAGTCAGAATGCCACCATGTAAAAATGCAGAGAGGAGGCCTACAGAACGAAATGTTCTTTACATTTTCAGGTAAAAATCTGTCTTGGATGTAGAGAATGGTTAGATGTTTTATGGCTAATTGAACTTACTGCTTATATGCTGAAAGTATTACATGTATTTAATTTCTCCAATTGTAGAAGTGCTTCAAGGTATTGCATGTGAAGCTGCTGCCCGTAACAAAAAGAGGAAGATCTACTCATAAGTGTGTTTTTTACATTATTTCACTAGAGAACAGAACTTTTTACAGCTGTACGTAGATCAATATGTTTTTTTATTTTGCATCATAAAACTTTATCATGTTCCTTGTTGCACACTATCATGGGAAGAAAACTGATGCATTGTATTCCGTAACTCCCTGGATGACTTTCCTCTTGTCAACTATTATGGATGTATAAATCTCTCTATGGATGTGGTTTGGAGTTAAATGAGATAAATCTCAGTACAGTTCTTTCTTTAAGTGGCAACAGTGAAAGAGGGATATTTAATATTTTTCCATTTTTTTTTAAACAAAAGGAGTATAGAGGAGAAGTGGGTAAAACCGGTTTACAAAAATGCTGGGTTAACTTTGGTGTTTGTAGTTTCCTTCAATCACAATTAAAAGCAAATAATCAGGTGGTTTTGTCAGTCATTAAGCTATGGGATATTTAAGTGTTCTTACTGAGTGCCACTGTATATTGTAATAATTGCAAAACATTATATCTGATATATCTGATATTCAAATCTTTTTATACATAAATGATCTCACACTATCTCATAAGATTAATGTACTACAAATACATTTTCACATACACTATTCTAACTAACTAACTATTCTAACTAACTAACATAATAGGTATTCACATTCACTTAACATACACTAATTTTCATAAAATGTTTCTATTAACAGCTTTTCACTAAATGCATCAGCTGTGGAAGTCAGAAATCTTAATGCTGTGTCAGTCCAAAAAAGATACTATTTTGCTTTTTTTGAGAGTATTCCTTCTAAACATTCAGACCATTTGAGAAAAGGTTCTAGATCCATTATGCTATGAAAGAAGATTGAAATAGAAAGTAAAGCAGTCTCACTACATACGTAGTTCACTTGAAAACTTTGTTATCAAGAGATATCTAGTTTGCAGTTGCTGAGCTGAATGTGGATAAGAACATATCTATTTTATATCAAGTTTTCTTGAGCTTAATGTTTTCAATTATTTCATATTTTCATATGTATAATTACATTAGTCACTATATATCAACATATGCAGTTTTAAAATATCCAACAAAGGATATCAGTTGCACTTTTTTTTCCACTTTCCACTTTCCAAAACAGTGAAACTATTGGTTGTGTTTCTCTAAAGATGGTATTTGTAGTGGATAGCACTGACGTGAAGAGGGTCATTAGTTCAGGTTAATTCTAGTTAGTTGAGATGACATAAATGAGATTTAGCCAATGTGCAGACTTCATAAAATGTTTAAGCAATGCTTTGAAGCTTTTCTACATTCATGGAGAAGTTCTCCAGTTAGAGATTTAGGTGGATTTAAACTTTGATGTAACCCAATGGTAAACTACACATTCTTCAGCACGTTGAGGTGTCAGGTTTTTTTTTTCTAAGCAGTTTTTTTTTTTTTTTTTTTTATTTCTAAGCAGTTTTTGGTGTTTCAGAATTACTTCTATGACAGAGGTAGGTAAAGCTTAAGAGAAGTGAAATTAACATGATAACAGATAATGTTATTATGGCAGATTAATCAAGGGTTGGTTCTGGAGAGTAGGCCAGCAGCTTCTTAATCATGTCTCAGGCCTTCACCATATCATGCTAGTCATAGTCGACGAGGAATGTGGTCTCATGCAAATGGATTACTAGAGTGTAACCATTTTTTCTTAAATCCATTCTCAAAGTTTTCCTTTGGTTCAGTACCTCATAGAGGTTCCTATGAGGATGGAAGGGTTGAGTGTGTGAGTACATGGGACTGAGATGCGCGCACAGGAAGAGATCAGTGAGGGGAAATTGGGAAATCTTTAAAAACGTTGATATTGATGAAGTTGTTCTTGAGAGAAAACTGGAGTCCATTCAATCTGAACAATCAGAAGGTTGAACTGTTAGGATCCCTGGCTGTTTCTAAATCTGTATTTATAAAACCGGAATGATATCTAGGTAAATAGACAGTAGCTTATTTTATTGTATCGTATGTATTTTTTGAAAGGATTTGGATATCTATATGTCTGCGAAGCATCCAGGATTACATATTTCCTTGCCATCAGAATTTACAAATAAAAATGATTTCCCATGAAATATTTAAGTGTGTGCAATATACTTAAATAGACATAGTGGTAATGTCTATAGGAGGACAAATTAATGTTTTTAAAATGTTGCAAGTTAGCCATCTGAAATGTGAAATTCCAAACAGTTGCATCAGAAATGATTAGATTCTTGTAAACAAGTAAATAGAAATGTTGATTTCACTGACTTTGCTCTTCTGTAAACAGATTGTATTTTGTTACAGTTGCTTGCTTAGACACAGAAAACAACAAACTATGTCCGCAAAGTGCTTGTGATGCACCTCATAGATTATACAAGGTAAAGTAGATAGAGGAATAAAATTGCAACTAACATAATAGGCTACTCTCATATAGTAAAATATCAACATGAAACATAGTTTAGTTAGTAAATAAACCAATATAAAAATTTTAGTGGTTCTAAATTAATAAAAAATATAAAAGTTAGTTAAAATTGACAATATTCTGTTGCCCATATGGGTAAGGCAAATCCCACTTATCAATCTGCATTAAGGAAAGTATTTTAAGAATATGAAGAGTAGCAAGACAACCAGGAAGCTTTGGACAAGTCTTGCAAATACTAAATGTCACATTTTTGCAATGGCATGGCTTTCCATCACTTGTGATAGAAAGTGATTCTGTGATCTACTAAAATATTAGCTGCTTGAAGATTTTGGCTCTCACAGTAGAGAAAGAGAAGTCAAACTTTAGCTTATCAGGTTAACTTTGATTCAGAGATTCTTGAAAGGCGAAGGAAAAAGAGAAAGGAAGGACAGGAGGAAGATAAGCCTTCTTCCCTAGGAGGGGAACACCTAGGACAGTGTGTATCATGAATGTACTGCTCTGCAACCTGAACTAAAGTACTTTAGGAACTTAAAAAGGAAAGCTCAAGGCAGTTGCAACCTTCAGTGGTTTTTTTTTGTGGCCTACCTCTAAGCACCTTCCTCACAGTATGTTGATTATAGATGTGCTCTCTGTTCAATATAGTGTTGTTTTTTAATGCTGTTCTGAACCATCTGCTATTTACATCCATCCACTGTCAAGAAATATCAGGTACATAAATCATGCTTTGGGATTCAACTGGAGTGGGAAGGGAGTCACAAACATGCAGTACTCATTAAACAGTTTCCATACTGTCCATTGGAAAAAAAAATACATTTGTGGGAAAGCTCATAGTCAGGGTTACCTTTTTCATGCAGACAAGATCAAAATAAGAAAGCATAAACACATTTGTTTTTGCCATTTTTGTAATTTATGTGTGTATTTTCTTTTGTGTGCGTGTGGTATTTTCTTTTTGTTGAACAGAGATATTCAGTATGGATGGAAAGTGTGAAATATAATTGGACCTAAATAATAGTACTGGTATAAGAGGGAAATTTGCAAAACTATTAATGAGCTACAGATATCCAGTGCAGGATAGCTTTAATGCTATTATCCAGGTTTATTTAAAGGTTGTATTTCTATAAACCTGTACATTTAGAGATATTGTGTTAATTGAGCAAGGTTTATCTACATTTAAGACAATGTATCAAAGAATATCAGATTACCTTCCTGTTTCCATTCCACCTAACTGCTACAATCTAAAGATTTAGAAATACATCCTTTAATTCTTAATCTCAACTCACACCCATGTTCCTTGGTTTTATCTTCTATTTTGACCTCTTTGCATCACTGATTCTAAAAAAAATACTTATTTGTTTCAATTTAGGCAAAGGACCTCATAGAGAGATTCTTTAAGAAAGAGGTGGAAATTAGGAAGAAAAGTTCTGAACCATTGCCTGAAATATACTACATTGAAGGTACACTGCAAATGGTGTGGGTTGATCGTTGCTACCCAGGATATGGAGTGAATGCTGTAAGGCATCCAGACTGCCCAGAGTGTTGTGGTAAGTGACAAAATTCTTATATCTTACAAGCATTAAATGCTGTTACAATGGTTTTATTTCAACAAATCTTGTTCATTTATGTTTTAAATGACTTTGTCAGATTTTATTTCCCCCTGGAAAAAAAGTCATTGATATGATTCCTATATACTGGAACTGAAGTCTCAAAGGAACATCAGGAGTCAGATTCATAGAGTATACATCTGTGGTCAATCTTTTTACATAGACAATTCTTTACAGAGCTAGAATTGGTGAAAGAAACACTGGATTACTTATCAAAGACTACTAACAGAATGGACTACACTTTAAAAAATGAGTATTTAAAATATTGGAGAAAATAGACAACAGAAGGAGACAATTCTAAAATTGTAGGACATAGAAAGTGTTTCCATATGCAGTTGCTTTTTCCTATTTCTTGTCTTTGTGAGAAAGACATAATTTCAGGAAGGACAAGATATACACCGAATTCAGTGCATTGACTGCAATACAAGTGTCAGTGCACATTATTTCAAGAAAAAATACTTGAAAATCAAGTTTAGAAAAGCTTTTAGGATGATCTGTTTTTTAAAGACTGCTGTTTTGTTTTGGTCTTCCACTCTGCAGTGTCTTAGTCCATTCTAAACTAATTTATATTCCTTTTTTTATTCAGAACAGAACTTTTGTCTTACCTGTTGATACAGATGCATCTTTGGCAGATACGGAGGCAACATTTCACATCTGAAGTACCTGAAGCAGTCCTGAAACATGTCTGCTCACCACTTTCCATAGCTGCAGATGTCATTCTGCCAGTATTCTCAGACATATACTCTTCTCTTTCATTTACCTCTTGGTATAATTAATCTTTGCCAGAATCCTAAACATCATATCATGCGCAATATAGCTGAAAGAGTCCTCTGCTATACAGCAGTCCATCATTCTGCCTCAAAGCAAGATAGGAGTATTTACTGACAGATGTGTCCTGCATGATCTTAAAAACCTCTAAGGTTAGACTTCACAGACTCCTAAGGACGTGGAACTCAGTACTCAAAATCCTTGCCATTGGAAAGCTTTATTTTAAGAAATTTTTGTGGTTTCCCTTGATTTTGTTTATACCTGTTACTTCTTGTTATGTGTCAGCAAATCTGGAAACAATTCTGTCAACTCTATCTTAGCAACAGCTTTTGTATGTCCTAGAAGATTTCTACCATTTTCTGATATTGCCTTCATTGAAATTAAAGTTCAGTCTTTTGGGTCATGTTTCGGCTTACGGCCTCTGCAGGGTGTTACTACTATCTACTAAAAGTTCTCTACATTTCTTTTCAATGTCTCAGACTTCATAAGTAGTTCTCAAAAGACCATATAAGCATGGGAGAATTGCTTTGTGTATCTTAGATACATGGCTAATCATACTCACCTCACTGTGAGTACACACAGTCACTGTGACTGGTTGTTTTTTGGTTTGGTTTTTCTTTTTTTGGAGGCATGCATGCAGTCATGGAAGCATTTTAATAAATGTATTTCCATGAAGCAGAGTTCAGCTTCTTGAGTGGCCCACTATTTTCACCTGGAGTTGCAAGAAGCAGGTCATTTAAGAGTTAAATGACTCTTAATGATATCAGTTAAGAGATTTAAGGTCCATTTTAAAACTGTTTGGAAGCTTTGGTCTCAGTTGCTTTGTAGTTAGAAGATCCAGCTTCTGATGTAAAGTAATTCATGGAAAGTTTCTATTTATTTGCTCTAGTATAGAGACTGACCTTTAACTTACACTTTTTTACAGTCAGAACAAGTCAGTCACTTTTTATCTGCTTTTGACAAACCTTAATCTCACATGCCCCATTTTGAGTTTAATTTTCTTGCACACAGATGGCTAGAATTTAGCAAGGTGTTTCACATCAGCTCTTACCAGTGCCTTTTACATAATTAATACCTTTATTTGATAATTAAGAACATCTGATAATCTTGTTAGTTCTTTTTTTCTTGTTAGAAAAAAACATTAGTAAAATTTGTCCAAGAGCAATCCCTTTACCAATTCCTCTCCAACTCTTATTTCTCCTTTACGCATTGTTCTGTAATCCTTTCAAAAATTCCCTTCTAGTTGTAGTTTTCTGCTGTTTATTGAATTTGTGTGTGCTGCCATACCAGGTGCTTTCAGATTGATTAAGTATTTGTCTTCACTGTAAATCCACATCAATTTACACAAACCTCAGATAATTGTGTTACCTCTGTATATGCCAGTTCTATTTTGGAATATAGAAACATGTTTCTAAGCTTCTGATCTCAATCAGAATGTGACAGAATTGGAAAGAGTGCGGCATAGGCCCTGGAACATGGAGAAAAAAAATATGTATAGCTATTGCTTGATTCATAAACAAAAACTTACTCTAGTTTTCATACATCAAAAAGGCGGATGTTCAGTTTTACCTGTTCTGTATCCTCTACTGTTTTTATAACACTTAGTTTCATGTCACACTAATACTTTAAAGTGATGGTTTACTACCAATAGGAGTTTTCTGTTGTAGAAAAGGATTCCAAGTATATCATTTAGTATCCAGCAGCTGTGTAAGTAAGCTACAAGTCACCTAGTTAAGGTTCCATTATCCTTTTCAAGCTGTCCCCTAGATAGCAGATTGCACAGCAGTGGGACAACCTTTTTATCCTGTTGCAATAGAATGCTACCTTGTTCCAATTAAATAAATGAAAGAATCTGTATTATTTCCCAGAAGTGTATCTATAATCTTTGACAAAAAAAATATATTTATTCCTCTGGTATACCAGTAGATGCTTTTGCTTATGGGTATTTGTAAAGCTTTCTCTTTCCTGTAAAGCCATCTTGAGTTACCTAAATTCATGTACTAAAAATGCAAGGTGTAGATGCCATCTACAGAGGACTCCCTCTTGCATATATTTCCTAAGACCTCTAAAATCTTTTCCAGTCAATAGCAGTGGCAAAAAAATGCTAGGGAAGCCAGTAACAGCCCACTGAGAATCAACAGAATCCTGCCAGCCTCAACAAATGAACATAATCCAAGTATTGAAAGTCCTGCTGAAGGTTTGGGCAGTAGAGACTAAGAAGTCGTTACTAAGCTAGGCAAACCAAATAACCAGTTAAACACAGACTCTCTAAAAGGATGGAATGTCTTAAATACCACTGCATACTGAGTACTAATGCTGTTCATTAAAGATCTTTCCTAAACTAAGGCTAATATTGCCAAATTGAAGATAGCTGTAGAATATAAGTTTGAGATGCAACCAAATAGCTGAAATTCTGCTTTCATCAACTAGCAGAATACTGGGGAAAAATAAATGATCTTTCTCTTTTCAAATAGATAAAGATGTATTCTGGATATTTCAAATGTAAATAGTTCTGTATTAATGCCATTGAAATTCATTGATTTTTTTGTGTCCATATAGTTATCTGCAGCCCAAGATCTTACAATCCCAGTAATGGAATTCACTGTCTTCAGTGTGACACCAGTTTGATATACGGAGCAACAACGTGCTGACAATAGAGGGAATGGCAAAGCTGCAATAGGTCTCATGCATTTTAACCTGGTAATATTAATAAATTTTTTATTTAAATATTTATATACTTACCTGAGTACAGTTTGTTCTGTTTACGTCAGTAGGATACACTTGTTTTTAAGAAATAATGATTCATCTGTATATTCTAGTTTGCATCACTTAGGAGTACTTCATTTTTAAGGTCTTTGTAACTACCCACCAGATTAAGAGCAGTGAAGATAATTAACTATTTAAATCAAAAGAAAAAAAAGAAAAAAGGTGGAGCTATTTTGCTTAGTTTGTTCTTTGTTCCAGTCATCTCCTGTTGACATAGATTAGCATAAGGATTCTGTACAGCAGCTTTCATCTGCTTGACTGTTCAGTCTTTGGTTAGGAGAACTGTAGTGAGCAGCTCAATATAGCACCAAGTACAAAAACATGAACAAAACTTTCTTCCAAGGTGAACTATAATAGTAATACTTCAGAAACTTCTTTTCAAATAATGTAAAATTTCTTAGGTTGTGCATCTGTTCTACCATTAAAGATACCAGTTTCAGCTAACATGCTTTTACCTGAAGAAAACAAACAATAACATAAAATACCACGACAATTTTTATGACACTCATTCTTTACTTTTGTAAAAGTGTCAAGAATTAGTGAGTCGATGGCTTAATGCAATCCTTGTTATTGTTACTTATTAGTAGCCTCATTTCAATTGGTATTCTGTAACAGAATTCTGTTTTAAATCCTATTTATACATTCCCTCTGTTAGCTGCAAGACCATGAGAGCTAGATGTGTGTAGGTCATTTTTAGCCCTTTGCCATCTGAAAAACGGGGTTTCCATGTAATTGTGTTTTAAAGCACAAGTACGAACCTCGGGTTTAAAAACATTCATCCTTGCATGTTTTCTTTTCAAAAAAGGACTTAAAAATACTGTACTACTTCTAAGAAGTAACTTTTAAACATGACACTGCTTATTTGTTGATCATTAGCATAAACAGCGTAACAAGCAGAATATATAAAATAGCTATTTTTATCAAATGCCACTTGAAAATAAATAGCTGAGAAAGAGCACGTTAAAAAAAAACATTTAGTACTTAGGAAATCCAACTCTGTTAAACTGTAATCCGTAGAATGTCTGAAAGCTATCCAGTCCTTATTTTCACTTGGTAATAAGAAATAAATGGACCGCAAATGAGAGGAGTCATTACATTTGGTTGGAGTACTGCACATCCTTACGTTATCTTCATAATTTCCCAATCACGACGGCACTAAATTAGTTAGCATTAGTTTGAAGAATCAGTGGCTAAAGAGAAAGCACATTTTGCAGTATTACTTTCCAAAAATATGGAGTTTGTTTTGGTAAAAAAACCCAACCTAACAAGTAATAAAGGCACACAGAGCTTTCTACAGTACGGGTAGCAAATTAATTTGAGAATTATCCTCTGAAATGAATGCAGGCTTTTTAAGGCAGTAAAAATATAAATTAAGCAGTATTTTTACGTTTATATGTCTACCTTTCTATTGTACATCAAAACCAGAACACTCTGGTTGGCAATTTCCAACCATTCCAGCAATTAAAGGGATTAATACCGTCGTATCTGTACTGTGAAGGAGAATAATAAAAATGATGTACTTTTAATTGGGGTATTACACACATTGAAATACTGACTTTCTTGTCTAGGTATTTATATGCACATTAGCAGAGTGCTGAAATGATATATTTTGGCCCTCTTGATAAGTAAAATTCATTTTAATCCACAAAGTTTGCACGCCCTTTATGACATTCAGGAAAAAGTGAAATAAGTGTTACAAAGTTTTGCCTTTGATTTCGTCTGTTATGAACAAAAGCACTTCACACGAACCTTTGGAAATGTTCTCTCTCATTCACTGATTGCAGTCAAGTACAGGTGGTTTATTATGTATATATTATGTGAAAGAAATCCTGATCTCTGTTAACAATATTAAACTGGACTTCTAATTTCCTCTTGCAGTCTTATCTAAACTGTATGCTCTCCTATTGCTGGAGCCAGAACAAAAAAATGTCTTTGTGTATACTGCCAAGGAAAAAGGGTTTCCTTATTTTTCTACTGTCAAAATTAATTGCTTGTTAAATTTATTTTTATTTCATGATTTTAGATCTTCTTTAAGTTTGCTCTTTTCCTCACTCTTTATGAACTGATACATGCATTCCTAATTTCAAAGCTTTTCATAAATTCACCTCTTTGCAATTAGTTACAATCTCTGCTTAAAAAATCTGCAGCAGTGCTCTATTTTGCTGGAACTGGAATGTTTAGTGTTATAGGTGGTATTTTCTCCTTTTTGCCAAATAAATATGAAGCAGGGAAACTTCCTAAGTTCTAAATTAACAAGATTATTGGTAAATCTAGGTGGCAAACTTAGCATTTGCCATAGATACACTCCTAATAATTACTTCAACAGGACTAACTTCCTATTCGTTATTGTATTATTTTCAACAAAAGCTTTTTTTATGCTTTATATTTCCTAGAATTCAAGAAATTTTTAAAAAGCAGGAAACTGTTATGTGTTACAGAAATAGGATCATTACTAGCTAATAGCCAGAAAGGAATTTAAGTAACAAATATTTCTGGTAAATTGAGAGTTGATTGTTTTTAAACACTAGCTTTTGTGCTGATAATTATGTAAATGCTTTTTTATTACTGACTAATTAATACATAATTTTGACTTGTCTGTAACTGATAAATGGCACACGTTTGGACTTTTCCTGTATCTGTCAAAGCCTCCTAAGCATTATGGAGCTATCCAAGTTTAAATACTGAAGTTACCATCAAAAGTAACATCAAATATTACAGATCTTGACAGTACAGTTCATATTACATGATAAGAAAACAAATGAGATTGTTTTCCAAAGTGAGGGAACCTTTCATCATATCTTTTAATTTGTACTGAGGAGCTTAAGAGCTTAATTAAATGTCTTTTCAGCATGGCTTTCAATTTTCAGTGTTGTCCAGAAGGACCAGCTAGAGCACACTACTCAGGGATTTGAACATCTTCATGGACAGAGACTCTGCAACCTGTCAGGACAATCTCTTCCAATAATCAGTCTCCTTTTACACTAAGATTTTTTGTTATCATTTCCAAATGGAATTTCGTAGATTTCAGTTTATGTCTGAATACATTTCCTGTTTACTTTCCTTAAGATATGCTTTGAAAATATCCCTGTAAAACACCTTTATGACACTGTAGATCTGTTTTTCCTTTTATTAACATTCCTGCTGTAACACTCAATTTCTCTGTCTCATATCTCACATCTTTCCTTCTTATCCCATTTTCCCTTTAAAATCTTGCATAAGTATTTAGGTGAATAGCTGCCCTTCCCTCTTGAGTTTTAAATGAGTATCAATATTACTGTTGCACACTAACTGCAATTTTATAATTATCCGAACCCATCTAGAATATTATCTCTTCAGGCACCTACTTACATAGGTTTGAAGCCAAATTAATATACAGTACACTCCTACAGAAATGGACAAAGCCAAACCAAGAATTAATTTGGCATTACTTCAATTGGGAAATAAGCAGAAGCAATAGAAGCAGAAGCAGAAATCTCATACTCATGTCAATGCATCTACATATAAACATCTGAGAAGAATATAGATTTTTCAAGGAACAGTCTTCAAATACAAAATTATTAATGAGCTATCACTATCCCAAAATATGGCTTTCGTAGACACAATTACCTACAAAGTTGAAAAACTCCTCATGTAGGATACATATATAGGTGACTCTGAAAGTAATGCACCCTATTTATTTCCACTGAGGTAACAACAGATAAAAAGAGCACAGTAAAACTATTTGATGGAGCTAATGCTCAGCTGCAAAACAGTTTTTCAACAGTCACCACCATTAGCTAAGCATTTTTGCCAGTGATGAGGCCTGAATGCCTCACCAGTGGAGGTGACCCACTGCTTCACAACTGCTATCATGGCATTGTTGGTTGCCCATGTGGTTCATCTTTCATCAGCCTGAATGGATAGAAGTCAGAAGGTGCAAAATTCAGACTATAGTTGGTGTGGTAGGACAGTTCAGCCAAGATAGGCAATGTGCTCTATGTGCTTCAAACTGGGGCCTGGCATTATCATCTTGCAAGAGAGAAGTTGTCATCTTCTCTGGCCTGACTGGAAGTGTAAGCCTTCAGTTTAGTCAGTATCACAATGTAGCAGTCTGTGTTGATGCTTCCACTGGGTTCCAGAAAATCCAGAAGGATCATCCCTTTCTTATCACAAAGTAGAATGCACATCACTGTACCTGCTGAGGGCTGCATCTTGAACTTATTTTTCTATGGGGAAGTCACATGGTTGTCACACCATGGACTGGCATTTTGATTCAAGCTCATAGTGGTGACCCCATCTCATCACCTGCGGTGCGATGCAGGACACTGTCACCTTCAGCCTTGTACTGGTTCAGTTGGTCCTTATAAACTTGCATATGGTGTTCATTCTCTTCCTCTGTGAGCATTCATTTGTGAGATTCCAGTGTTGCCACCATCACTTCCAGCGTATTGAAGATGATACTCAGTTTAGTGCAGAGTTACCTGGTCATAATCTACTGGTCGGTGTGGATGAGCTGATTGAGATGTTCTTCATTTTGCAGTGACTGTCCAGAATGTGGCTTGTCTTTTATGTCACTGTCACCACTGCTGAAATACACCATTCACCACCTCACTGTGCTCGCAGTGTTTGATCTCTGAAAACATTCAGCAAGCATTAACAAATGTCAGTGGGCACCATCAGTTCTGTATGGAGAAATTCAATGACACCCCTTCGCTTCATCCACACTTCCAGGTCAGACGCCATTTTTTCAGACTGTGTCATCTGTCACATGACAACAAAATGGAACAGAATAGTGGTGGGAAGGTTCTACTTCTATTGAAGTACCACCAACATTAATCTCTGATGTCATGGGCCAACATCATAAAATAGAAGGCTTACTTTCGGAGGAGCTCTCATAATCACATCTGCATTGGAGCTAAAAACAGGTGAGTAAGTGGGCTTCAACTATGCCACCTTTAAGGACAATATACCCAACAAACAAAACCCACTATTAGTTAGCATTATTCTGTAGCAATTACTTATTTATAACTGAGCTTTTTACTTTACTAATGTGCACTTTACTTGCTAATAAATAAATGTAAAATTCCCAATAGCATCTAAATTGACTGTTGAGAGACACCAAGTCTGTATTTTCCTTTTCAGTATTTTTTGATGTTGGTTTCTTTTTTCTGCTGTCAAAAGAATATGTCTCAGTAGATCGGCCAGTGTTCTCTTTAATTTGATTCACTGGAAGTGATGCAGATGGCTTTATTTGTATTTTTTAAAGTTAGATATAGATGTATTACTTGACCAAACCATGACATTTAGAAAAATACACATGGCCAGCACAGCAGCTGTTTTTTTGCTTAGAGATTAAATATGCTTAAAGATGACTGGTCTCTAACTGCATTCTATACTAGCTATTTAAAAAACAAAAACCAACCAACCAAACAAAAAAATTTAATTTCCGTATTTTTTCATTTTCGAATTCCATAAATAGGAAAGTTTATGTTTTAAGCACATCTGTGCAAAATAACATTATGTATCAGGATGGAAATAGCTCCCCAACTCCCATTGCAAAGGCCCACATGCTGCTTGGAGCGATCATCTTCTGGGAGTTTGACTCTGGGGGTCATTTGCCTGTGTGCTGGGGTTGCTGATGGTATTACCGGGTACTGGGTCTGGCTGGGATGGAGTTATTCTTCAAATAGCCTGTCTGGTGTTGTGTTTTAGGTTTGTAACCAAAAGGATGCCATTAACACACTGATGTTTTAGCTGTTGCTGAACAGACCTTGCACACCGTCAAGGCCTTTTCTGTTTCTTAATCTGCTTCCCCGGTAAATTGGGGGAGCGCAAGAGTTTGGGTACAGTCATAACCATGCAGATGACCCACACTAACCAAAGAGATATTCCACACCATACAACACCACACTTAGCAATAAAACAGAGCAGAGCAATATTTAGGTACATTAATTGTTTTTTGTTCAAGAACTGGCTAGGAACCAATCTGCCTATGAGAGGTGGTGAGTGATTGCCTTTTCATCATCACTTGTTTTTTCACTTTTTTTTTTCCTCCTCCCGTTCTCATTCTCTCACTTTTGCTCTTCCTTTTCTCTTCTGTGTCTCACTGGGAACAGAATGTTGTGAGGTGGGTGGGTAAATGAGCTGCTGTATGGTGCTGCCTTGCCTCCTGGGATAACAACAAATACCTGTACTCCCTGGTTCCACAGCTGGGTGAGGCTGCTGACATCTGCCCATCCTCAGGAATGGCCAAAAAGCTCTCATCGTAATAATACTAGAGGACAAAGTTGGACACGGCCAGTGACCTTGGCATGAAGAAGGTCCAAAGATTATCCACTTCTATCTCACTATGTTAAAACAATAAAGAAATTGCATCTTAGCAGACTTGAAGATTATATCTCAAACAGAAAGATTATATCTCAAAATATAGTCTTCAAGAAATAATTCATAGAGCTGTCTGTCAAGATGAATTTGTTCAGGACAATCTATATCAAATGGGAACGGACCAACCTATTGCTAAACTAAAGATTACACGAATATGTTGGTGCCAGGAATGAAAGATGAAAAATATCATTTGGAAAAAAAAGAAAAGCAATAAAAAATAGCTATAAAAGTTACACTAGGAAGACACAGTAAAATAGCCTTTAACCTTGTCATCAGTACTTCAAGAAAGAAAACTTCCCAGACGAACATAAATTCGAGCCCAAAGAAAGACGATAAAGCTTAACAAAAGCTTCAGTGAAGCGGAAGCTACAAATGAGAGACAAAACACATCCTCTCCTCTTCCAAGAAACAAAATAAATCTTCAGTCTGTATCATTCTTCACAGCCAGCAGCTGAGTTAGTGACAAGCCAGTTGTAATACTTCTAGCATCCCTGCTGGGAATTCAGGCAACTGGAGAACAGCAGTCTCCATGCAGTGTTTACATACATGCATATCCACTTCAGGGAAAGCTATTTACTGGATTTTTGAGTGATTTAAGCTATTCAAATCAATAATGTCTTCCCCTCTCCCACTGCTCTGTGAGTAGGCCGTGTCTGACTGTCACAGGACTGTCTGTGCAAGAGATGGTTTCTTCATTTCTATCACTCCTCTTTTCCCATTCAAGACAAAGTAAGTCCCAGAAATAGACAGACACAAACTCAAAGTACAGACTGGAAGAGAGAACTGCGATTGACTGAAGTCACAGGCAAAACTTCCGTGGTCTTCATCAGTACCAGAAAATCCCACTTTGTATGGATCCAAACCTGGAAACCAGGTTAGTGCATGGCAATAAGTAGCAAGGAGTAAAAGGGAATCAAGCAATGTTATTCATTTTCTGATATTTATTCATCACATTCTTTTTTTTTTTTTTTTTTTTTTTTTTTTATGAAAAGCTTAAAGTAAGCCCTTGTTTGTGTGTGTTCTCTTGAGCCACTGACTTAGCAGATATTCAAAGCAGATGCAATCCAGGAGTTGGAGATAAGCTAAATTAAAACCAACATGGATCTAAACAAAGGCTGTAAGCGTCGGAAGCAGGGAGATGTGATTCACTCCGTGTGTGTCCAGAGTCAGCTTCTGCGCTATAAATCCTTTGATGGATTCGAAGAGCTGGCTCAAAACATTTCTCGTCAACACACAGTTACACAACCTGTGCAGGCAGCCAGACAGATTGAGATGAATCAAAAAGCTGAACAAGCACCAGCAAGGCAGAAACAGCAAGGTCTAGGGGATGGTTCTCTCTTGCCCAAGGATGTGTGTGTGCAGCCACAGCCCATCCACACGTCTCCACATCTACTGCAGGTTACATTGATGATGCCACTCACTGACTTACCCTATTTCCACCAGCTCAGCAGTGCTGTATTGTTGATGTCACAGAGGCATTTGCCCTGCTGTAATATCTTACGTCTGAACTTTGTATTATGAACTGATTTGGTCTAATTAAGGTTTTATAAAAACAGATAAGAAAGACCAGTTTTGTATTACTGCTTCAAGTGATCTCAGCTGTGGACCAGCAGACCTATACCAGTGCAGCTAAGAAAAGGAGCTGACTCACTTTTATATTACAGCACTACTCTTAAGTGCATAAGTGAGCACATTCTCTGAAAGCATACTGGACTACATTTTTTTCCAACAGCAAGGATGTCGAAGTTTTATCATATAGTCACTCCTTCCTGGCCAATAAACTGAAAGGAAACAAATAGAAAAAAAGCGAACACAAGAACCCAAAGAAAACTCTACTATGATAAAACTAGAATAGAAGTGTAATGTTTAGTTATGTGCATGTACACAACAGGACAGGCAATGATACAGTACTTTAATCTGTACTGTCTATATAAAACATTTATTTTTAAGCTCTATGTTAGTATAGAAATACATAGAATATTTTATAGAGTGTATTTTAGTGTACTCACTGTGAAAATAACACATTTATTAAGACAAGTATTCTTATGTCCAAACTTTATTTAAATATACGCACTGCTTTGCCTTGCAGAATTACGTGACTGTGAAAAACAAAGTATCCATAGTCAATTTGCTCCTCACCAGAATCTTCTCATTGCGATTTCCCTGGGTCATCCACAGTGCTCACTGCTGTGAGATAGTTTATAAAAACCATGAGAGTTCTTGGACTGGTAGATTTCCTATATTTGTTTGCATTCATGTCTAGTGCACATAGCTTGTCGTTCAATTCTCCATGTGCCTTCTTCATAAGTGCAGTGACATATAGTGCATTCGTCAGTCTTCACCTCTCGGCCCGCAGGAATGACAGTGGTTTCTGCAAAGCAGTTTGGACCTAAAGAAAGGAAAGAGTTTGTTACATGATACCCACAGCACACCATAATCCAACACAATTCAGTTTTAGTCTCGAGGACTGAAAATCTAACACAAAGTCAGTAACACTGGGCACAGTTAACAAACAGGATCGTTGTACACATCACATAAAAGAGGCAAAGAGGAAAGGAGCCTTGCCTTCTAAACAGGATTCTGATTTTCTTCTGGTTTCAGCAAGGGCTGCCCTGCCCTCTGCAAGTGAAGTGAGATACATCCCTTGTGTGAACACAGCTATGACAGGCACAGACTGGTCAGAATGCCAAAAAAAGATTTAAGCAAGAGAAAAACCTGGTCATCGATGATGAAAAAATGCTATTAGGGAGCAGATTATAAATGTGATCAATTCTCCATTGGAAGCACACAGTGCATTTTGTGTAGTAGTCAAAGTATCAGATTAGTTTATTTTTCATTTCATGAGAAATCCCAGGACGTAGAAGTACCAGCCTCTTCTGAATAAAGTCTCTTTTCATGGTTCATGGACAGAATGAAGTATTCCATTTTATGTAAGTCAGCAAGTGTACAAACGTCCCTTTTGTAGTACATTGAAATGACTTCATTTCCAAGGAGGAGGCAGGAGAACAAGCCACCAGCACTAAGTTCACAGCACTAATCTGATCCTTTCAGAAGGTGACATCCTCACATCTCTCCACTGCAGAAGGCTGCGCATGCTGCATTATCTACAGCTCTGTTAAAAAGAAGTATCTATTTCTGCCTTGAATATCCACACACGTATGTAAAGCAGCACTAAACCCTAACAATCACCTCCTGTTATTTATGTTCTCAGCACGACTGGGCCCGCTATTCACTGAGAGCACAGAACTGCTGGGGCACAGCCTGGTTATCCTGCAGTATTGTGTGCCACCACCTACCAGGTAGAATGTGCAGCGTGGAGCAGCGTGCTCCCATCCCTTCTGATACTGTGATGCAGCTGAAATTCTGATGGAAAGCTCTGGCAGTCAACTGCCAGCCTGTCTGCCACACCAGTAAATAAATCACAGGTGAAGTTTAATCTTCCACCCCCAGAACTCTGCTGTAGGAACTAAGCCACACACTTTTATTAAAGCATTTTCTCTGAAAACCGGAGGTCGGTGCTAGCTCCACATTTTAAACCACAACTCAAATAGTTCACAGATCAAATGTAATAGTTGTATCTCTGGTTCAGACGGTGCATTCATGCACTGATATAGCAGCCAACAAGCAGTTGGCTGGCTCACATCCAGCTTCTTGTCCACCAGGACCCCCAAGTCTTTCTCCACACATCTCATGTAAAGTTATCTGCATTACTACCCTAGACTGCTTTTGTGTTTGCCCATCCCTCAGCCTGTCCCTACAGCACACTAAGCAGGAGAGAGGACCCGACCAGTGCAGAAGGATGAGCTGCTGGATACCTCTGCACATGGGGCACTGTCATGCTCACAGCTGAGATAAAGCAATTATTGACTATGCCATTCTCCATGGAATTTTGAGAGATTTCCACTGTAAGCTGCATAGCTCTGTATCAGTTAAATACACTATTCTTCTGGGCATACTAAGCTTTCATCCCAAGATGGGTCCATCCTCACCTTAGTGAGATACCTGAGTGTTTTACATGCCAGCTCATAATAGCTTTTTGATATAGAAAGCTGCATGACAAAGAGTTAAAATATTAAAAGTAGAATCTACTTTCCATGAAGAAATTCTCCATGAGACCTGCAAGACCACTTGAAATTCAACCACTATTTAAAAAGCATGAGAAAAACACGTGATGACAATCCCATGTACAAGATTTAATTCATTCTGGAAAAATCGGTGCTACAGGCTATACTTGATTATAAAAACCAGACAGAGAACAAAGTAAAAGCTGTACAACATATGTAATGTAATTCACTAGAATTCAGAGTGTGGGGAGTTGCCCATCATGGGTATTGTGCTAATGAACCAGTAACTGATACTATTCTTCCTCCTTGGAGGGGAAACTGAGAAATTGAGGATTTTAATGGGCAGTGGGACAAGAAGGTCGAGTGGGCATAGGAAGGGTGGTTTTAGACCAGAAAGTGCCATTTCCTCACTCTCCTTTAGGAGGAAAACAGAAAGTGGTGTCTCCTCCAAACTCAGAGTGGATACGCTGCCTGAAAGGCATGGCATTTTCTGGAACTTCTCCTTTACTTAAAATTGTGCAGTTCATATAGATTTAGTGGGATTTCCAGCTTCCTGTCACAAAGGGCAGGATATTTTGTGAGTCCTTAAATAGTTCTCCAAATTACCTCACTTCGCACATGAGAAGCATTTCAAAGTAAGAGGGGGGGCTGCTCTAATGCCAAAGTGTTGGTGGATTTTCTGGCTGGATGTTACTGGTGTACAGTAAGTTGCAGAGTGCAGCTCCTCTCTGTTGCCTACAAAGCAGGCTGCCTGCTTTCTGCCAACCTGCAGGGACACCACTGCAGTGACATCTTGTGTCTGTGCATCCTACAGCAGCAGTGTGTTCTTGGAGCCTATTTCGTCTACTGCACAAACATCCTGGGCCACATCCCTAATTGAGTATGTTCATGTAGCTCTAAGGAAGGTTGTGGTGCTGCACATCTTTGCAGTGAATTAAGATCTTACTGTATCACTCTTAAACCTGGCAGAAAATTCAATACGACCTATTGTACCAATTCCAAGCACAGTTTGAAATCTACCACGACATCATTTGTTTTCCTAAAGCATGTCCTGACACTGTCAGACTCTGAGCCATATCATACTGGTACCTGTGGAGATTCCTTTTCCAGGGCTAAAGCACTGCTACTGCTGCTGTCTCAGCAATGCCTCAAAGCAGCAAACTGACTGCAAGCCCTGCGTTGTCACACTGAGCACCAGATTGGAGTGCTTGAAATGTTCGAAACAGTGAATCACAGCTTCCAAAACTGCGTTTGCGCTGGGATGTAATCAATCAGGAGAGCCTATCTGGTGGTTAATTTATAACCAGAGTCTCATTTCATACATATTTTTAAAATTTTATAACTGTTATCCAGATAAATGCAACAACTGCACTCTTCCCTCCCTTCCCCCCCCCCCCCCCCCAAATTCCTTATGATGATACTTTGCAAAGCTTCCGGTGACTTATGTTTTATGCTTTAGTGTTGATAAATGCAACAATTCAATTAAAATGCAAATTCTATTATCTCAAAAGAAAACAGCTGATACCAATTATCAACAGAGAATGCCCAAGCCACTCACCTACAGAAGCAACAGTATCTGTAACCTTGACAACCTTGCCAGAGTCTCTCTGAAGCTTTTCCTCCTCCTCCCCTTCCACCAAACCGCAGCTGCTCTCTATAGAGTTGTATCTATTTGCTCTGCAGCCCGCCCCTGATTTTGCATAGGCACATGTTCCTATTAGTTCATAGATACAAGTCATACAAAGTAACCCGGTAAATCATGTTCTAATCAACTGTTTTCGTCAGGTATTAGACCAAATTATGGACAAAGAAATCTGTTCAACTGCAAGTTAATTTGTTTGCCTGGAGAATAAGTCATGGCAAATTTTAGCCAATTAGAACTGCAGTGACAACCTCTGCAATATAATATTCTGATGTAAGACTGCTCTGGGCTTTGGTTTCATACAAACTGTCTAATAGCTGACCTTCCAGTAGCTCCTCACAGCAGTCAAACAGGTCACTTCTAAGGTATCTGATAGCATACCTGTCTACATTGACAGCTACACGACAGTCATCACTGTGGCATTACAGCACTTTCTAAATGTCATAAGTTCAGCATTTAGCATAGCTCCTCTCTTCCCTTCCCTTCCCATTTAACAAAGAGATTTCCAACAGTTAGTACATGAAAGACATATTCTATGCTTGTCCTGGAAGCTTAAGAAGCACACTGTACCTGCAACAGCCAAAAGGTGCAGAGGGAAGTGCATGGGAACAGAGCAAACATGCAGCAACAGTTCCTACTGTACAGTCCCAGTTTCAAGAACTCTGAATTGGAGGAACTGTAAATGGCTCCTGTGTGCCCCGTAGTCATTCATACAATACATTCATACTTCTCTACAATTAGCCTCTCCAAAACCCTGGTGAACACATAAAAGCTTCTACTGCACTTGGTGGCAAGGAGATCCACAGCTCTTGTGTGCAGCATAAAGGAGGTTTTTTTTGCCTTCTGCCTTCCACCTGCTACATAAATTTGGTTCCCCAAACAGCTCTAGAGGCAGAGGCAACAACAGCCATTCCCCATTTGCTGTGTCATTCCAGTAGCCCGCTACTGCATTCCCCACCTCCCCCATTACCACACCTGCAGACCGAGGAGGCCAGCTCTGTAATCGCAGCCCCTGCTGATTACTTCAAGTCCTTTCCGGGCTCTGTGGAGCAGCCATGCACACGATGAGCAAGCTGCAGAAACACCGCAAACACCACAGACTTCTGCTGTGCCACAGTGATTCTCTGCGGTGCTTCCTGTCTCCCTCTTGTGTCCTGACATTTGACTGTGTGTTGTGACTACTGATGGACTACTGATGGCATTTTCACGAAATTCTTGATTTTATATCAGATGGAATGCCTACAGAAATAAATGTTTATCAGAATTATGGAAAGGCTTTGGTTGGAAGGGGCCTTAAAGCCCACCCAGCCCCAACTCGTGCCAAGGGCAGGGCTGCAACCCACCATCTCAGCTGCCCAGGGCCCCATCCAACCTGGCCTTGAGTGCCTCCAGGAATGGGGAACCCACAGCTTCTCTGGGTAGCCTGTCCAGCTCCAGCACCTCAGCACCCTCTGAGTGAAGGCATATAATCTAAATTCCCCCTCTTCTAGTTTAAAACCATTGCTCCTGTTGCCTTTTGTTGTTACAGAAAACTTTCCTCTTCCAGCAAATTACTTGGCAGTCTTCCACATACTGCTACAACATTTGGTAACTCCAGGAACAAGACGGAGAAGTCTTCCCCTCATGGTTCAGATCCTTCGTCCTGGCTTGGTCATTCCTCAGGCTTCTATGTGATCTGCTGCA